TGGAGCGCAGGACTTGCTCCCTTCAGCCCTGCAGCATCAGGTAAGGGTCCGAACTTTCACTTCAGCCCCAATCGGGCTCCTCGACTCTGGGCCTCAAGGGGCAATGAGGGGTTGGGGTTTCGGGCCCTGGGTGGAGAAGCTTTCGGGGAGGCTTCAGGGGCTTGGGTGCCAAGGCTTACTAGCAAAGCTCTAGGCAAAAAGGTGCAATAACGCTCAGATCTACTGGCCTTCATAGTGGCACAACTCTTCAAAATCCTGGGCCTTGACTTCTCTCTAGATGAGGAAGGTAAAATGGCTCCTGGCCCCCAGATGAAGAAAGAGGGGTTCAAGGTTTCAAGGGACAAGGGCCAGAGAGTAGGGTGGGAACGGCAGAGGGTGGGCAGAGGCTGAAAAGTGGGATGTGGTGTCAGTGAGAGGCACTAAGTGTCTCCCGCCGCCCAATATGGCTACCATCTCCGTTGCAATAGCCTTGGGCGCCTGCCTGGGGAGTTCCCGGGCAGCGAAGGAGTCAGGGCCTTGGGCTGGTGAGGAGGTTGGGGACTGAGGCCTTGGCGGAAGGAGGCTGTGCCTGCCTCAGGTGGACTCTAGAGGGCAGGTATTGGGGCTGGGAGGGGTCACTCAGGGGGTCAGAACTGGGGACTGAGGTGAGGCCTCCAGAATAGCCATGGTCTCTACCTGAGTGTCCTGAAAGTGGGGGGATGGGGTGGAGCCCTAGGGGGAAGGGAAGAGGGAACCAAAGAGGAAGTGGGGGGAGGGAGGTAGAGGAGGCTAGTCTGGCGCCATGCTGAGTCACCGCCCACAGGGCCCAGGGCGGGCCCTTTCGGGGCTACGGAGAAGGGTGTTGGGGTCTTGGGAAGCCACGGGGAGGGCTGAGGGGCTCTTGAAGCAGGAGTCAGGAGGAGGAGCGGGCGGCCTGAAGAGTACCCGCAGACGGACAGACAGACAGTGCAGTCACCCATAAAGTAGAAAGCACTACTAACAGCACTGGAGGGTGTAGTGTTTCCTACTTTATGGATGAGTGTACTGTGGGCTTCGGAGACCACGCCGCCGCCGCCCGCCACCGTCTTCCTCCACACTCAGGACCGTGTGTGACAGGTGAGCCCCTCAGGCACCCTCCCCACCCCACTCGAACCCCTGAAAGGCCTTCACTGCCCCCTGTGGTGCTGTCCCTCCTGGTTCCGGCCAACCAGGGAAATGCCACATCAGCTCCTCCGCTGCCTTGAGGCCTGGGAGGGCTGGACATTTGGACCTGACGCAGCTGTGGAGAGGCCCCGGCGCCGGGGCCCAGCCTCGAATGGACAGATGCCAGGACAAAGAAGAGGCGGGAAAGGAGGGTAGATGGAAGGGAATGGGGGGGGTGTGTGCCAGGGACCCCAACACTAATAAAGAATGGACTCTGCTTCTCTTTTGTCTGAGATTCTGTTGCTGGGATTGGGAGGCTGAATGGGTTCAGCAGGCACATTGGTGGGGTGGGTGCACAGAGGGACTGGGAGGGAGAATCACTCTCACTCTCCTGAGAGATATGAGTTTGGCCCTGCCTTTGAGACCAGAAGAGGGCTCTGGGCCTGGCCAGGCCGCAGCTGCCAAGGAAGGATGCCTGGGGTGAGGACCTCCCTGCAAACGGAGGAAAGGGGGCAGGACATGGAGGGGCAGGGTCATGAGAGCCCTCCCACCTTTTACTTGAACTCTGGCTCTGCCCTCCACTTACTTTCCACACCCCCAAACTGAAGGCTGCCTACCACCAGTCCTAATCTAAGAAAGTCTAGAGGGTTGTTGGTAGTATAAGAAGTGGACACACACCCACTATGGCCCCCACACAAAGCATCTTCTACTTAGACAAGGGCACAGATACTCCTATACAAAGCACATACTTTGTCATGTGTGTGCATTTACGTACAGGGTCCCTGTACACATATGCTATCAACACACGTGTACAGTGACAGACACATGTGACATGGCTGGCATGTCACACAATGATATACGCACACTCAGGACACATACATATTCAACGGTACACACACGTGCAATGATACAAACACATATGATGTGTGTCACGCGTAGAAGAGAATACAAATACGCGCATAGTGACATTCACATAATAGACACATTGGTTCCATACACACACAAATATAGTGACTCACTCATACATGGTGATAAATATACAATAGGTACATGGTGATATCTATACATCTAGATATCTAGATATAAATGAAACCATGTCATTGTATGGCATTACACACATTTACATGACTGTATGATAGTGTGTCGTTACATATTGTGTAATGCCATATAATGGCATCTGTACACATATATCGTGTCATATGTGTTGTAATTTATACACACACAATCATAGCCTCATATACACATAACAGCATACAGACACTGTTGCAAGCAGGCATCTATGCAATGACATAGAAACATGCATGCATATATATCCAGGGAGACTTATAGACACATAAAAGCACATACACACATACATATGTATGTATGTGTGTACATATGTAAAATAATACAATGGCCCCACACACATATACAGAGATAAATATACAGTAATATGCTGCATAACAACGTTTCAGTGAACAACAGACCACATATATGACGGTGGTCCCATAAGATTAGTACCATATAGCCTAGATGTGTAGTAGGCTGTACCATGTAGGTTCGTGTAAGTACCCTCTGTGATGTTTACACAATGACAAAATCACCTAACAATACGTTTCTCAGAACGTATCCCCGTCATTAAGCAACACCTAGGCTATATGGTATAGCCTGTTACTCTTAAGCAACAAACTCGTACAGCATGTTACTGTACTGAATACTGCAGGCAACTGTAACACAATGGTAAATATTTGTGTATCCAAACATAGAAAAGATACAGTAAAAATATGGTATAAAAGATCAAAATGGTACACCTGTATAGGGCAGCTACCGTGAATGGAGCTTGCAGGACTGGAAGTTGCTCCAGGTGAGTCACAGAGTGAGTGGTGAGTGAATGCGAAGGCCCAGGACATCACTGCACACTACTGTAGACATCATTTTTTTTTTCCTTTTTCTCCCCAAAGCCCCTCGGTACATAGTTGTATATTTTAGTTGTGCGTCCTTCTAGTTGTGGCATGTGGGATGCCACCTCAGCGTGGCCTGACGAGCGGTGCCATGTCTGCGCCCAGGATCTGAACCAGCGAAACCCTGGGCCACCTAAGTGGAGTGCATGAATTTAATCACTCGGCCACGGGGCCGGCCCCTACTGTAGACTTTATAAGCACTGTACACTTAGGCTAAGCTAAATTTATTAAAAATACTTCAGTTTCTTCAATAATAAATTAACCTTAGCTCACTGTAACTTTTTTACTTTATAAACTTTAAAAAATTTTTAAAAACTTTTTGACTCTTTTGTAATAACGCTGAGCTTAAAACACAAACACATTGTACAGCTGTACAAAAATGTTTTCTTTATGTCCTTATTCTATAAGATTTTTTCTATTAAAATTTTTCTTTTTAAAGATTGGCACCTGAGCTGACATCTGTTGCCAACCTTTTTTTTCTTCTTCTTCTTCTCCCCAAAGCCCCCCAGTACATAGTTGTATATTTTAGTTGTGGGTCCTTCTAGTGGTGGCATGTGGGATGCTGCCTCAGCATGGCCTGATGAGCGGTGGCATGTCTGCGCCCAGGATCCGAACCAGCGAAACCCTGGGCCGCCGAAGTAGAGCGTGCAAACTTAACCACTCGGCCATGGGGCCGGCCCCCTAAAAATTTTTTAATTTATTTCTTACTTAAAAAATTTTTTTGTTAAAAACTAAGAGATAAACATAGACATTAGCCTAGGCCTACACTGGGTCAGAATCATCAATATCACTGACTTCCAGCTCCACATCTTGACCCACTGGAAGGTCTTCGATGGCAATAACATGCATGGAGCTGTCATCTGATATGATAACAGTACCTTATTCTGGAACCTGCCTGAGGCTCTTCTTGAGGAGGCATCACTCTTTTCAGAAATATGTCCATGGTGGTTTGCTTGTTTTTTTCTTTTTTTCACCATAGATTTGCTTGTAAGCAGATAATGCACCATGAACATTGGTCTCTATTAATGAAAACCTATGATGTTATGATGGCTATGATGTCACTAGGTGAGAGAAATTTTTCAGCTCCATTACAATCTTATGGGACCACCATCGTATATGCGGTCCATCATTGACTGAAAGGTCTTTATGTGGCGCATGACTGTATACGCGTGCTACACATATGCATGCACACAATGGCATGCGTATATACCCTGACATAAACATCAGCGACAGACATCATGTAGTGATACATATTGATCTACACACTGCTGTAGGGAAGTGAGGATGTCATCTCCTCGCCATGCATCAACTCTGGCCTGGGTGGAGCCTGTGGCCAAGGGCCCTATGGTTTAGTGCTGCTGCTGCTATTCCCCAGGGGCGCCACATGAGGGCCCCTGACCTTGGCCGAGACTGGCTTGTGTGCAGATGGACTGAGTCCCAGGTTCAGAGGGTACAGGGGCTGCCTCCCTGAGACATCTCCCAACGCCCCTGTCTCTGGGGACTCTATCTAGGCCCTTGCCCCCACATACAGGCTGACTCGTGGGTGAGGGAGTTTCCACATCTTTGTCCCCAAAAGCCATTTTCCCATAGCAAAAAGGCTTAAGGCTAGACAGAAGACGAACTTCCTGACAGTTTGGGGCAAAGCCTCCCCAACAGACCATGTGGACTCCCCTGCTGGCTCTAGATGGCCAGGTTGCCCCCAAAATGCAGTGTGCCAGGAGGAAGCTGAAGCAATTCTCTCAGCCTATTTCTACCTCTGTCTTTTTGCTTCTATCTTCCTGTTTTTATTCTCTTGATTTCTGTCTTTGTTTCATCTTGAACCCCGTCTTTTCTATTCCTGCCCTTCTCCATGGCTGGATCTCTGTCTATCTGTCATACCACTCCGTGTCTCTGTCTCTAACAGTCTTCGGCTGGGGCCGATGTGGGAAGGACTGTCTGCAGCCCCCTTGCCTCTGTATCCTGGAAAGTGTGTGTGGGGGGGTTGGGGATGAGGAGTGGGAGGCCACATGTTGGGGGCACTGGGCCAGCATCCCATGAGGAACCTGCTCATCCCTCTGTCCCGACCCTGCCTGCTGGTCCAGCCCACCAGTCCAGCGCCATCACCATGGAAACCAGCAGCTGACTTCCTATTGGTGGACAGGAGGGGAGGGGGAGGAGGAGGGGAGGGTTAGCTCTCCCCTGCTCGCCCCCCTATTCTGAGGCTCAGCCCTCCTCCGCGCCCACCATCTCGGGGCTCTGGGACTGTAGGGGACCCCTGCACTCCCCAGAGCTGAAGCCAGCAGGGACAGAGACTATGAGGCAAGCAGCCCACCGACCCAGGCCTCCTTAGGACCAGCCCGGCCGCCCAGCAAGCTAGCGAGCAGCAGCGGAGAGACGAGCAGGAGATAAAGGACCACAGAAGACCATTGGGGATCACCCCCAGCAGCTCCTGTGGATCCTAGCCAGGCTGAGGGGTCGTGATGGATGGCCAGACTCACAGACGCTGATGGACAAACAATGACACTGATGCACACAGCTGCACAACACTGAGACGCTCCGATACAACCAGCGACAGCATCACACACTGCCACAGCCCTGCAATACAGACACCCCCCCACACACACGGAAACAACTGGTAACTCCAAAACAGGCACAGACAGTGACACACAGAACCACTACCCCCCAACACATACGACAGGGGGCACCCATCCTCCAAACACACACAAGACAACGCTGACCTGCAAGACAGACCTGGAGACACGCACATCTTCACCCAGGCGCTGCTGCTGGTGGCCTCTGCACATCCTCCCTGCCCCCACAGGGACACCCTTGCTCCTCACACACTCACACACACACACACAGCCACGAGCAAACATAGCTTGCATACCCCCAGCTCCAGCTCTGGCAGCCCCGACTCCTGCAGCCTTCTTTGTGGATAAGGAAGAACTCGGTCAACCTTGGATGGAGACTCGGTGAAGCCAAAACTCAGAGAAGAAAGGGTCTGGCCTGGCATGACCCTCGCCAGCCCCTCCACTTGGCTGGGTGATGTCCCCCGGTCTGAGTCCTGGGGCCCCTTGGCAGTACCATGGAGCAACTGACATCCCTCCCACGGCCGGGGGACCCTGGAGCCATGGAGCCATGGGCACTGCCCGCCTGGCAGAGCTGGACTCCAGGCCAGGGGAGCGAACCTGGAGGCGCAGCCCCAAGCATTGCTGATACTCCAGCAGCTCTGCAGCTTGGAGAACTGGGGCTTAAGGAGAGCTCTGAGCCCGAGGGAGCCAGGAGCCCCCGACTTGTGGGGGGCATTGACCCTGAAGGAACAGAAACTGAGCTGCCCAGCCTGGGGCAGCAAGCAGCAAGCTCCGTACCCAGCTGCCCGATGCTGGAGGATGAGGAGGCGGAGGTTTTTCCTGAGGTAAGGGAGCTGTGGAGGGCTGGGGTCTGTGAGGTGGGGGGCCTCTCATCATGCCCTCCAGTGGGCATGAGATGCAACCCTCTGCCCACCTCTCCTCTCCGAGCCTGCCTCTGTCTGTGGTCCGTCTCTGTGACTGTCTCTCCTCCCCTCTTTGGGCAAGAATCTCAGTGGCTCCATTTTTTGCCATCTGTCTGTCCTTCTGACTCTCTGCCTGTCTGTCTACATCTGGCCCTCCCCCTACCCCCTCCCTCTGTGAGTCTCTCTGACAGTCTGTCTGTCTGTCTGTGTCTCCTCCTCCGTGAGTCTCTGTCCTCAGGGACTGGAGTATACTGGGGCTGTGTGGAGGTGTCTGGTGGAATCAGAGTCCAGAGGAAGCAGATTCAGGGGACGGGGCTCGGTGCTGGGCTGAGCCAGGGAGGATGAGGTTTGGGGTGGGTGTGAGCAGTCTCCTGCAGAAGGTTAGAAGATGGAGGGACCAGGACTTTGGGGGAGGGAAGGGAACTCAGGGGCCATGAGGAGCCTGGAGGGGTGAGGATGGGAGCTCAAGCTGGCATTTCCCAGGAGAGGAAGATGGGCAGGGATGAGAAGAATTGGGGACTAGCAGAGAGGAGTCCAGTGTTGCGGGATGCAGTGTGGGCAGTGAAGACTAAACAGCCCCTTCTCTTGGGCCTTCTCTGCTCCCCACTGAAGGCCTGGGATGTGAGGAGAATCTTCTCAGTTCCGTGTCTCCTTGGACCATAGAGGGGGAATGCTTCCATATGGAGGGCTCTGACTAGGTAGGGTGGGTTCTTGAGCTGCTGTGCCCTGTCCTTTCCCATGCCAGGGCAAGCTGAACATGGGCTTCGGGGACGGACCCAATCTGGAGCTGCTGAGGGCCCTGGGGGAGCTGCAGCAGCGCTGTGCCATCCTTAAGGAGGAAAACCAAATGCTGGTGAGGCTTGGAAAGCGAATCCTGGGTCCTGACTGCAGCTGGGGGAAGGCAGACTCTGACACCCCGGCCCTCCGCCTCAGCATCCTCCTCATCCCATGAACATCCCTCCGACTGGGGGTTACGTGCAAGTGACATGATCCTAAGACCCAGAGAGGATAAATCCCTACCTAGAGTTGCAAGGACCCCACTGGGAGCCTAGGGCTCTAGCCCAAGGCCTGGGCAGTTAGGATTGGGTCTGTGGGGTGCTCCACACATACCCCAATTCTGGCTGACCCCTTATCAGAGGAAGAGCAGCTTCCCTGAGACGGAGGAGAAGGTGCGGAGGCTGAAGCGGAAGAACGCGGAGCTGGCGGTCATTGCCAAGCGCCTGGAGGAGAGGGCCCGGAAACTGCAGGAGACTAACCTTAGGGTGGTGAGGATGGAGGCTGGGTGACCAGGGAAGAGGGGAGCCAGGGCTGGGCCTGAGGGAGTGGGGTTTGGGAGTAATGGACTCTTAGCACCCAGGAAAGCTGGGAGCCAGGGGCTGAGATATAAGAAGGGCAAATGCTCGCCAGGCTAGGAGGCTGAGGGTTTCTGGAGCTACAGGAGGGAGGGAAGGGCTGGGCAGGGAGTTCCTGAGCAGCCAGGGAGTAGGATTCTGGATGACCACGTGCTGGTGCTGGCTGCAGCCATCCGCTGAGCTCATCTCTGGGTGCAGAGCTGGTGGGGGCAGGGATGAAGACCCATCACATTGGCAGCCCTCAGTTAGCAGCATCCTTTGGGCCTAAACTAGGAGGTGCAGTTAACTCTTTCAGTCCTGCTTGAGGATTGCTGGGATGGGGTCAAGTGAGGCTGTTGGTACCCTGAGGCCCCAAACACAGGGTAGAAGCAGGAGGCCACACTTCTAGGTTTTCATCCTAACCATTCCTTTGGGAGGAGCTGAGGAGTGGGAGAAGTGCCCCAGCCCTCAGATGACAGTTGGCCTTACCCCTCCTCTGGCCAGGTGAGTGCCCCCGTGCCCCGTCCAGGGGCCAGCCTGGAGTTGTGCCGGAAGGCCCTGGCCCGCCAACGAGCCCAGGACCTCAGTGAGACAGCCAGCGTCCTGCTGGCCAAGGACAAGCAGATTGCTGCCTTGCAGCGAGAGTGCAGGGAGCTGCAGGCCAGGCTCACCCTGGTCGGCAAGGTGCGAGGAGGCCCTGGTCACCCTTTCTAGCTCAGCCCTACACAGGGCTGCCGGCCTGGCGTGTGGGATGTGGATGAGATGCTAATGAGATGCAAATGAAGCGGGAAGGTGGAGGCTGCTGGGGAGTAGGTTCCCCTGGCAACGGCCCAGGTGGAAGCAGGGAGAAGGAGCCTGAACTGAAGGGGGTGGAGCCATGAGTCCCAGACCTGGGAATTTCTGGGCTTCAGGCTTCAGGCTGTATGCCAGTGTGTCTAGCTGTAGGAATCCACAAATACCTCGCACTTGTGTGAAGCGATGTTTTCAAGGCATTTAGCACAGTGCTGGGCACACTATGAGTGCCCAGTAAATGAATTACTGTGAATGTCTGCACACGGGCTAGCGGAAGCATGCGGCGGTACACGCACGCACCGATGACCAGGCATGTATGCATGGGAGAATGTGCACGTTCCCGCGCGTCGAAGCCCCTCCAGCAAGGCGGAGGGCGGGCTCCGCTGGGGATGGCGTGGGGCGTGCAGGGGTTAGGCCTGACTCCTCTCCCTGTCCGCTCACCCCAGGAGGGCCCCCAGTGGCTCCACGTGCGGGACTTCGACCGGCTGCTGCGCGAGTCCCAGCGGGAGGTGCTGCGGCTGCAGAGGCAGATCGCTCTGCGCAACCAGCAGGAGCCGCCCCCACCGCCCCGGCCCCCGGGCCCTGCTGCCCCGGCCAGAGCAGGGGCGCCCGCCCCCGGGGCCCCGGGAGAGGTGAGCGCCCGCGCAAGGGCAGGTGTGTGTAGATGGGGGGTTGGGGCGGCTCCGGGATCTCCCCCTACACCGCACTCAGAGCCCCGAGGATCTGGTAGTGGCGAGCCTTCCAAGGGCTGTGGAGCTTTCCCGATCCCGGGGGCAGGATCCACCGCCTAGCCTCCCCGCGCTCCTACCTGCGCCGCGCCCGCCCCCAGGGGTTCGGGGTCCGCCTTCTGCAGGCCTGCGCCCTGCGGGGCCCGCCCCGCCGCCCCTGCCGCCCCTGCCGCGTCGCCAGTGGTATGGCCCGGCCGCAAATCCCTGGTTGCCCTGGCAGCCGCCGGGGCCCCAGCCCGCGCCGCCGCCTCCCGCTGCCACCGTAGCGCGGGGACGCCCCCTCCAGCGCCCGCCTGGTCGGCTAGGCCCGGCCCTGGCTCCTGGGGGGAGGCGGTGCGTCCGCCCCGGCTCCAGGTACGGGCGACCCTCATTGGGCGCCGGGCTTAGGCAGCCCCTGTCGCGAGGGTTAGTGACCCACCCCGGACCCCCAGAACTTAGAGGTCTGTCTCCTCTCCATCCTCTCTGCTTGGGCAGCACCTAGATCCACCCTCTTCTGGGCTCAGGGGTGGGAGGAAGGACTCCATAGCGACCAAGGCCTCAGGGTGTGAGGTGCTTCTTGCTCAGATTTTGCGCTTCTGCCTGGCCCAGGGAGGGAGACGCACAGCCCATGAAGACCTGTCCTCCCCCAGAGTTCGCCCAGATAAATGGGCAGTGCGATGGGGTGGGCTTGGGGGAAGCCAGGAGGAGGGTCTGGCCAGGTCTGCCATGCTCTAGGCCAAGCCCAGATTCGGTTGATTCATAACCCCTGGCTCTGGAAACACTGCCTCCCTGGGGGCCCAGGCGGCCTCCTACTTCTCTGCCAGTGACTGAAGGACACCCAGGACAGTTATTGAGTGCAGAGCAGGGCTGCTGCTGGAATGGAAGCTAAAAAGGGAAAGCTTTGGCCTGGATAAGGGACCCATCTCCCAGGGCACACATGGGTCTCAGGATCTCAAAGCACTATGTCTGGAGGACACAGGGGTGCAGCCTCTGCACTTCCACATCAGCTGGAGATGATGGGAGGGGGTGGGAAGACAGCACCCCCCCCCTTCCTGGGCAGGGATCTCTTTGCTGACTATGAGATGGGGTGGGAACCTCCCACGGACAGGCTAGGCTGGGGGCAGGCTGTCCTGGAGCCCTGTTCTCAGGTGCCAGCCCCCTGCCTCTGGGCATTTCCAGGCCACACTCCAGGAAGATGTGGAAAGCCCACCCGTGGTCCTAGGGGAGCCAGAGAAACAGCAGAGGGTGCAGCAGCTGGTAAGTCTCAGGTCTAGGCTGGAGGAGACCTGTTGTGGACAGATCTGTCTTTCTGCATGAGGGGCCCTCGATTCTGACCCTACAGGAGTCAGAACTCAGCAAGAAGCGGAAGAAATGCGAAAGCCTGGAGCAGGAAGCCCGGAAAAAGCAGAGGCGATGTGAGGAGCTGGTGAGCTCTCAGGGCCTCTTGGAGGCCAGCTCCTCCCTTCCCCCAGCCAGCCAGGTGGTGGGCTCCCTCGGCTCTGCTTTCATCCCTCTTTCCCTCCTGTTCTGCACGGCTCTCCTTTCCTGGCTGATGCAGATTCCACGTGGGGGAGGAGGGCCTTGTCTGGGAGGGCAGGGTCCTCTGCATGGAGAGGGGAAGAATGTGGGTGCTGGGCCCCCACTCCCCCCCAGAGCTCCTCTGGTCTCTCAGGAACTGCAGCTGAGAGAAGCCCAGAATGAGAATGCCCGCCTGGTGGAGGAGAACTCTCGGCTCAGTGGGAGAGCCACAGAGAAGGAGCAGGTAGCGGCTCTGCCCAGGTGCTGTGGGGCGTGGGCTCCTACTAGGGCCCTTGTCCCTGGGCAAGGGCCTGCTCCTCCCCCACCCCCAACTGGGCTAGAGTACAAAGGGTTCTATTCCCTCTGGGGAAGGAGCTGGTGGGACAAGGCTCACATGCCCAGCGCCCTGCCACTCCCCGTCTCCAGGTGGAGTGGGAGAATGCGGAGCTGAGGGGCCAGCTCCTGGGGGTGACACAAGAGAGGGACTCAGCCCTTCGCAAGAGCCAGGGTCTGCAGAGCAAGCTGGAGAGCCTGGAGCAGGTGCTGAAGGTGAGGGACTGTGTAGGTGAGGGGAGGGTATTTGTCCCTGGATGGTGGAACATGCCTTTTGTGGGGTGCTGGGGACTAAGGTCCAGTCTTGGTGCTACCGGCCCCTTTCCTTCTCTGCCTCAGTTTCCTTTTCAATAGAGGGTATCTTTAAGTGTCTGAGGCTCCCTTGTCTTGCATCTTCTAGAGAAACAGTGGAGTGGGGCTCTGGCCTTGACCCATGGTCTTGTGTTTCAGCACATGCGGGAGGTGGCCCAGCGGCGGCAGCAGCTGGAGGTCGAGTATGAGCAGGCTCGGCTCAGCCTGCAGGAGAAGCAGCAGGAGGTCCAGAGGCTGCAGCAGGTGAGGGCAGTGTCTCTAAGGGGCAGGAGTGAGGGAGGGGTGGTAGGCTACTGGACCCCAGCTTAGTTATCCACTCATTCAGTGAGCATTTACTGAGCACCCACTGCATGCCAGCCACTGTACCAGGCACTGGGGGACAGTGGTGGGCAAAGACCAGGTCCCTGACCGATCAGCAAATAAGCAGATCCATGAGTGAGATGGTCCCCGTCACTGACAAGTGCAAGGGGGGAAGAGAACTGGTGACGTGACAGAGAGTGACTGGGGTGGGGTGAGGGGCCACTTTAGAGAGGTGGATGGGGAAGGCCTCTAATCCCTCAGGGGCAGGAAGGAGCCAGCTGAAGAGCACTCCAGATAGGGGGACAGAATCGGGAAAGAGCAGTGTGGAGATGGCCAGGACAGCAGGAGTAGGCGAGAGCCAGATCACTCAGGGCCTTAAAGGCTGTGGAAAGAGTTTGGATATTTTGCTCTCTGAGCAGTTAGAAGCTGTTGAAAGATCCCAGCATGATCCAAGGGGTCATTTTAGCAGATCACTTTGGCGGCGCTGTGGGGGGTGGATTGGGGTGTGGAAGCGGGGCAGTCAGGTGTCGGGGCTGTGGAAGCACTCCGGGTGGGAGATGATGGCCTGGACCAGGCAGCAGGCAATGAAGGGGAAACAGACGGATGGGTGTGAAATACGTTTTGGAGATAGAATCAACAAGAGTCACTGTGGGATTCCAGTTGAGTCCCAGCTCTGTCGCTCATTTGCTGTGACCCCCTGGTGGAGGGTGGGGCTTTTCACTCCCCAGGAGGTGAGGGATGAAGGGGCAACAGACTTGAGAGGCAAGGAATGCTGAGTTCTGAGTTCTATTTTGGCCAAGTTTGGGTTGTATGTTTAACATGCAAGTGGAGATGTCCATAGACAGCTGGATTTAGGAGCCTGGAGTCGTGGGGAAGCAGGTCTTGGAGATGTATTTTGGAGTCATCAGTGTATCAGTCATGTGACTAGATGGGACCCTTGGGAGAGAGTGTAGAGTATAAAGTGGGCCTAGCACTGTGCCCCGTGGCACCCTGACGTTCGAAAGGGGTGGAAGACGGAGCAGGCAGAAGAGGCTGAGACGGGGCGTCCGGAGAGGTAGGAGGGAAACCCTGAGGGTGGATGCTCCCCAAAGAGAGAGCAATGTCAGGCTCACGTCTGCTTGGCCACACTGCCTTCTAGCCTAAGGCACGGTTCAGGGTGGGAGTTCGGGAGGGAGGGGCCCTCAGCCTCCCTCTTCCCAGCCCGCCTGCCCTCTTCCTCTCCTCTCCCTTCCCCCTCTTTCTTCTTTCCTTTTGCCCTTCCTAGCCCCCCTCCCTTTCATCTCCCTCTATCCCACCCCTTTCCTCATCCTTCTCCTCCAGCATTTTGCCTCATTTCACCTGTAGGCCCAGGCGGAAGCTAAGAGGGAACATGAAGGCGCCGTGCAGCTGCTGGAGGTAGGGTCCCTAGGGGTGACCCCAGCCCCATCAGCTTGTGGGGGAAGTTCAGAGAGAGCTGGAGGGGACTGTGTGGGTGTGAGTGTCATGGGTGTGGGCTTGCAAGAAGGGCCCTTAAATACTCCAGGGCCCAGGGGAATCCCCTCCACCATTGGCCTGTTTCTTAGGCTGGGGCACAGCAGGGCAGGGGCTCCTTAGTCTTGAGCAGCAGTGTCCCTTTGCCACCTACCCCTGGAGGCTGCCTTCACCCTGAAATAGCCTTCCACTTAAGAGCTGCTCAGTCAGTCCAGGGAGTGGACCCAGTGGGCCCCTCCCTCTTTCCCTCCCTCTCTGGATAGTGACCCACAGGGTACGGGTTCTAACTCTCCTCTGCTTTCCTTTTCTGTGCAGTCCACCCTGGATTCCATGCAGGTACAGCCTCCTGACCCCGACCTCCCTGGCTGTCCCCTCCCCCACACCTCTCCTGGCTGGCTGAGCTGCGTCTCTTCCCTCAGGTCCACGTGGTCCCAACCCTCATGCCACCAGAGGAGGGTGTGACCGGTAGCAGACCTGAGACTCCGTAGATGGGCTGGGATTCCTACAGGACATGTGGGCCATCCCCTGGTCTCAGACCTGCCACTGTGCCTGGCAGACATGGGGCCTTTCCTCCTCTAAAACCTTGCCATTCAGACCATGAGGAAGTTCATTACCAGTCTAACCCGTGATCTCTTGGCCAGGGAGAGCCCCTAATATTGGGACTCTCCTGATACCTGAGGAATATTCTTGAGAATTGGCTTGTTCCTGTCACAAAGATGCCCCGGCTCCCATGTGAGCTCTCTCTGGGGACCTCTCTGAGGGCAGGGATTTAGGTCACTGACTGTGGGAGGGTGACAAGCAGTGGAGCTGAGAAAACTTCTGAGGTGATGCTGGTGGTGGTGCTGGGGGTGGGAGCAATCCCTTTTGGCCTAGAAAGCAGCCAGAAGCAGAAGTGCCACTGCCTGGGGTGTGAGGGTGTGCTGCGCGGAGGCCGGTCGAGCCCTTCTCTGGAGGCGGGTAGGGAGTGCAGCTGTCCCACAGCCCCAGGACTCCACCCTCAGCTCAGACACTGTTAAGGGCAATGGGGCAGCCAGGTGGAGGGTTGGTGCCAGGCCTAGGGGCTGGGCAGATGTGATCTGAAGTTGGTGTGGGGCTGTGTGGAGACGGCACAGGCTGAACTGGGCTGCTTTGCTGGGCCTGGTGGCTCATGGTGGGTCTTGACTCAGGTCCGGGTTCGAGAGCTCGAGGAGCAGTGCCGCAGCCAAACTGAGCGCTTCAGCCTCCTGGCGCAGGAGCTCCAGGCCTTCCGCCTGCACCCTGGCCCCTTGGATCTGCTCACCTCTGCCCTGGGCTGCAGTACCCTTGGGGACCGTCCACCACCCCCCTGCTGCTGCTCTACCCCCCAGCCCTGCAGGGGGTCTGGCCCCAAAGGTAAGGTACACCCCACTGACATTAGCCTGGAATCCTCAAACCTGGGGCTTTTGTATAGGGTCAGCGGAAGCTAGCACCTCGCCCAAACTCACACAGCAAGTTAGAGCCAGGCCTGGCTAGAACCAGGCTCTGGTGGGAAAAAAATGAGCCCACGGGAGTGGCTCTCCCAGAGTCTGGCCCAGGCATCTCAGGCCACTGCTCCTCCCGCTCAAGACCTCTGTGGTCACGGCCGGGAGTTGGGCACTGGGAGTCAGTAGCAGGCAGTGTGGGCTGGTGAAGAGTCAGGGGAGGGGGTCAGTCAGATCTGGTGGTCCCGGCTCCCCTCACTGAAGAGTCCCATGATTTTGAGCATGCTGCTTCACCTCTGTGGGCCATGGTCTCCTAAACTGTAAGACGGGTAATTCCATGCACCTCGGCAAGCTGCTCTGAGGATCCTGTGAAACAATGTGTGTAAGTCACTTCCACCTCCACTTACTAAGTTTCCCCTAAATATTTCCCTTCTTGTAAGGAAACCTGGCTGTGGAGGGCCTGGCTCCCTATCCAAGAGGCTCCACCCTCAGTCCCTGGTCCCTCTTCAGGCCACAGACCGCAGGCCCACATGCCTTCTTCTCTTTAGACCTTGACCTCCCACCGGGCTCCCCAGGGCGCTGCAGCCAAAAGTCTTCCGAGCCTGCCTCTGCCACGCTTGCTGGGGTCCCTCGAAGGACCGCCAAGAAGGCAGAGTCTCTCTCCAACTCCTCTCGCTCTGAGTCCATCCACAACAGCCCCAAGTCTTGCCCTACGCCTGAGGTCAGTGCTGGGGAGGGGCTGGGTCTTGCTCAGCCTTGGGGAAGGGAGAAGGAGAGCTGGCCCTGACCTCTTCTGGGATTCCCAGGAGTTGGGTGGCTGCTGGCCCATGTCGGGAAGTGGAGCCAGGTGCTTGGAGAGAAGGGCCTGTGGACTCCTCCTTGTGGGCAGGGAGCTTGGGTGGAGTCTGTCCTGCGCTCCGGGGCCGCCTGAAAGCCCTAAGTTGGGGTCACCCAGCCCCACCCCTCTGGGGCCAAGAGAAGCCCCAGAGTCTTGGGCTGGCTGGAGGGAGACACTATGGCGCCAGGATCCACATAATGAGACTGTTCATGAGAGCGGCTGTAGCAGATGCAGATGGTTGTGTGAGAAAGAGCACAGGTTCCGGGATTCAAATCCCAACTTTGTCTTAGGCAAGTCATGGACCCCTTCTGGACTTTGGTTGCCTTGTCTGGATTTTGGAGCTAATTAAACTTGCCTTGTAAGGTTGTTGTGAGGATTACATGAAAAAATATAGGGAAAGTGCCTTGCTCAGTTTGGGGGACACAGAAGGTGCTTAACATATGGCAGCTATTATTATTACCAAGTTCTTGGGCGTCACTCACAGCTCTTCTGATCACCTCGTCCCCCTCTCTACCTCCCAAACTCCAGAAAGTGGAGGGGAGAAGGTCAGGAGCAGCCCTGATGTCCACGGTTGTGGAAAGTGGCGGAACCCAGCCCTGGGCCTCTACTGCCCCCTTGTGGGATAGGACGGTGGTTCTGGCTTTGGCTGCCCCTGTTTTCCCTGGCAGTGACCCCCTCTCAGGGACTTCTCAGCCCCTTCTGCGTGCTCGCTGCCAGCTCTTTACACTCAGAGTGCTTTGCTGGGTTTTTCCTTAAGGAGACAAACTGCCATTGGGCAGCCACCCCACACCAGCATGGCTGGCCCCCTCTCCGAGAAAGTGGTCTTATTTACTGGGCTGGTGCAGTAGAGGCCAGGGCTCAGGGAGGAGGCCAGGTTATCCCCACTCCCCCTTCCCAGGCCAGCTGTGCTCTGCCAGGGCCTGCTGGTTCAGGTGCTGATTTAGAAAACATCAGGGCTCATTGCTGCTGGCCTTGTCCAGTGTGCGCTCACTTTCCCTTCTCAAAGCAACAGGTCCTCCATTGTCTGCTTTGCCATTGGCCCTGGGTCCTGGAGAGGACTGGCCCTTTCTGTTTGTCCCCAGGTGGACACAGCCAGTGAGGTGGAGGAGCTGGAGGCAGACAGTGTGTCCCTGCTCCCAGCAGCGCCGGAGGGCAGCCGGGGAGGAGCCAGGATCCAGGTCTTCCTAGCGCGCTACAGGTGGGCCCCTCTCCCCTGTTCCCCATCCCCCCCAGCATTTGGGGTGTCTGGGAGGAAGGGCCTGAGTGAAGATAGCGGCCTCTGGAGGTAATGGTGGGGTGCAGGGATCCCAGTGGACAAGTCCTCTTGACCTAGTTGGGCTGAGGTGGGCTCAGTGAGCGCTCTGCTTGGCTGAAGATGGGCAACCAAGTCCCCATAAAGGCCGAGTGAGTGGGGGAGAGGAGCTGGGACGTGGCAGTCAGCATGTTGGTTGCTATCTTCCTCCTCCTCCGCGCCTCCCCCCACAGCTACAACCCCTTCGAGGGCCCCAACGAGAATCCAGAGGCAGAGCTGCCGCTTACTGCTGGCGAATATATCTACATCTATGGCAACATGGATGAGGATGGCTTTTTTGAAGGTAGGAAGGTGGCAGGGAACAGTCTGTTCATTCCCCTGCTTTTAAGCTCTTCTTCCTAGAGACCTCCACGCATCCGTATCCTCTCAGCCCACCATAACTTTTCAGACTCAGCTAAAAGGTGTGCGGAGACCTGGAGCCCGTGGGGGAAAGGGAAAGGAAGGGATCTGGGACAAGGGGGCAGCCGGTCTGACTGCAGGTCTGCCCTAAGCAGGGCAGGACAGGGCCTACCACAGTCTAGATGATGGGCAGAGTGTCATCGGAAATTTTGGCTAAATTTGCTTTTGTGCTGGGGGACACGGCATGGCAGTGTTTAACACGAGTGATGCTCGAGGTCAAGCATGTAACATAGTTCTGATGCTGGACTCCAGTCGGGTGTGGGGAGGAGGAACCAGGGTCCAGAGCCCAGGAAAGGGTGTTAGCAAGTGGTTAGCAGTTCTCAGGGCGTGGGCTTCAGGGCAGTTCTCCAGTGCCTGTGGGGAGATGGGGCAACCAAGGCAGATGCCCCACTACTCAGACTGGGCAACAGGGCAGGGCCTGCAGAAGAAATGGCCTTGGGAGGCTCCCCCAGGGGGCCCTGGCTGGGTACCAGGCTGCTTCCTTCAGCGGCAGGGAGGATGACACTGTGTGGGGACTGAGATGAGGTGTGGACAGGGCAGGGCAAGGGCTGTAACCATGTGTGGGGATGTAGAAAAGAGATCAGCTCTGGGTCTGCAACACCCAAAGCTTTGGGTTTGTAAGGCCAGGCCTTGAGAGCCTTCTCGGTGTCTCTTCCCCGGGCCCTACGCCTGTTATTTGAGTAGCTGCTGGGAATGATGGTAAACACTAAATTCCCCATAGGGGCGGATAACAGAGAGCGGGATTAAATAGCTCCCCCCAAACAGCTTTTTTAAAATGGAAAAACAAACAAACCAACCAAAAAACCAATACAATTTTTTGGAAGGGGGCAGCAAAACCATAAATATCAACTAACCACAAATTACTAGATTTGAACCTTACAATCTGGGATAGATTTAAAGGCATGTAGACACCTGAGTGTAGGATGTGGGGCCATGTTGCTCATCAAACTTTAGCTGAATGGCTCCTTCCTCTACGTCTGGTCCCACCTGGACCGCTCTTGGGGGCACATACTTCGGGAGCTTGTGCCTGACTCAGACCCAGGCTCCAGTGCCAGCCTTTCAGGGCTGTGGGTCTGTTCAGTGTGAAGGCTCCTGCTTTAATGTCACCCTCCTTAGCACTAGTACTTATACTAGGGCTGCCGCAACAAGTGACCACCAGCCGGGTGGCTAAAGCAACAGAAGTGTGTTCTCTCACAGCTCTGGAGGCCAGGAGCCTGGAATCAAGGTGTTGGCAGGCCACACTCCCTCTGGAGGCTCCAGGGAAGAGTCCACTCCTCATCCCTTTCAGCTTCTGGTGGTTCCAGGTGTTCCTTGGCTTGTGGCCACATCATTCCAGTTTCCCCATCTGTAGTCACATTGCCTCCTTCTCTTCTCTCAGTGTCTCTCCCTGTGCGAGATAAAGACACTTGTCATTGCATCTAGGACCCACCCAGATAATCTAGGATGACCTCATCTCAAGCTCCTTAACTTAATTACATCTGCAAAGACTCTTTTTCCAAATAAGGTCACATTCGTAGGATCCAGGGGTTAGAACGTGGACATATTTTTGGGAGGCCCCCGTTCAGTCCACCACAGCGCTTATATTATTTAATTTATTGACAGTCCCTATTGTGTCTTCTTTAAGTTTTCATACTTGTTTTTGCTCCTAGTGTAAGCAGAGAGAGAGAGGGTGTAGGGGAAACTCGCGGGCCCTCCAGCAGCTCAGGACTGCCTACACACACCCTCTGCCCTCCACCCGGGCCTGTGCTTCCCCTTCCTCCTGATAAGGCTCAGCAGTCACCAGCTCATCTGTTCCTGGGAATCTCTTTCCTTCTTCCAAGTTAGCTGTGACGTGACATGCTGTGTGCCCAATTTCTTCCTTCCCTCACATCCCTCAAGCAACAGCGAATGATTTACAATACTCTATTGACGAGTGTTTGGGGGAACTGGCACAAGGTAACACAACTTACTTTTGGCCGCTGCCTGGAGTGACCACCAGTCATGCTCCCAGGCCCAGGCCTGCTGTGGGGCCTAATCCCTTCTAGCACCCACAGGGGACTCTTTTCTTTGGCACTTATGTCTTCTGTATCTAAAGATTCTTTCCCCTGCCATGACCAGGTGTTGCTTCCCTCTCTCTTTGAAAATGTCTGTTTTTCACAATTGGAAGTTGAGGGGGCCCCCTGCCCCTACTCCTCAGGGCTGCGTAATATGGAAGTTTTCAAATGTACAGAAAAAGAATAAAACAATGAACACCTATATCCTTGCCACCTCGATTCAACAATTGTTAACATTTTGGTGTATTTGCTTTTCCATATGTGGGTTACAAAGAAAAATGACGTAAAAGCAAGTTGTACACATCATGACATTTTACCTAGACATACTTCAACATGCATCTCCTTGGAACATGGACATTCTCCTACATCCTTGCAGTATCTGTGTCACCTGGGAGCTTGTTAGAAATGAATAATCTGGGGCTGTCCTGGTGGGGTATCAGTTAAGTTTGTGTGCTCTGCTTCAGCGGCCCAGGGTTCGCCGGTTCGGATCCCTATGCACCGCTTATCAAGCCGTGCTGTGGCAGCTTCCCATATAGAAGAACTAGAAGGATACATACAACCAGGATATACACTGGGGCTTTGGGGAGAAAAAAAAAAAGAGGAAGATTGGCAAGAGATGTTAGCTCAGGGCCAATATTCCTCATCAAAAAGCATACCTTTAGGAAAAAGAAAGAAATGCAGAAATCTCAGCCTCACCCAGACCAGACCTAGCTGAGTTAGAATCTGCATTTTAACAAATCTCCAGGTGATTCATATGCACATTAAAATTTAAGAAGCTCTGTCTATATAACCACAATACTGTGATCACACCTAGAATATTAACAATAACTCCCTAATCCAGCTCTTGACTGCTCTTGTCTTTCAAAAGCACTAACAGGTAAATGTTGATTTGAATCAAATGCTTAAGATCACTCACTAACCATTGCTAAAATGCATTTTTTGGACTGGTTTTTCTCTACCTCCTCTCTGTCTTCCCCTTCCCTGCCCTCCCTCTGCCAGGGGAGCTTATGGATGGCCGAAGGGGCCTGGTCCCTTCCAATTTTGTAGAGCGTGTGTCCGACGACGACCTCCTGACCTCCCTCCCTCCGGAGCTGGCCGATTTATCCCACAGTTCAGGCCCTGAACTCAGTTTCCTGAGCGGAGGTGGGGGTGGCAGCAGTAGTGGGGGCCAGAGCAGCGGGGGACGCAGCCAGCCCAGAGCAGAGGAGGAGGCTGCAGGGGACGAGCTTAGTCTGAGCCCCTTGCCTGAGGGTCTGGGTGAGCCTCCTGCTGTGCCTTACCCCCGCCATCTGGCAATCCTCAAGCAGCTGGCCCACAGTGTGGTGCTGGCCTGGGAGCCACCTCCTGAGCAAGTGGAGCTACACGGCTACCATATCTGCGTGAATGGGGAGCTGCGTCAGGCCCTGGGGCCTGGGGTGCCCCCCAAGGCTGTGCTTGAGGACCTGGACCTGCGGGCTGGGGCCCTCCGTGTTTCTGTACAGTCCCTGACCAGTCGGGGCAGCTCCGACCCTCTGCGCTGCTGCTTGGTGGTGGGTGCCCAGGCCCGAGTGGTACCTACTCAGCTGCGGGTCCATCGACTGACAGCCACATCTGCTGAGATTACCTGGGTTCCCAGCAATAGCAACTTGGCCCATGCCATCTACCTCAATGGGGAAGAGTGCCCCCCTGCCTGCCCCAGCACCTACTGGGCCACTTTCTGCCACCTGCGGCCTGGTACACTCTATCAGGCACGAGTGGAAGCTCAGCTCCCACCTCGAGGATCCTGGGAACCAGGCTGGGAGCGGCCGGAGCAGCGGGCTGCCACACTGCAGTTCACCACACTGCCCGCAGGTATGCCAGCTTGGGCATTGACTGTCCGTAACACCCAGGAGGCCAGGCCATGGGTGATTGTGGAGGGGAGGCTGTTGCTATTTGCGTTTTCAGGGAAATGGCAAAGTGGGCTGGTATCTCTGGTGCCGAGTGTCCTACATTACTGTGTCTTGTGCCTCTCTTTCCCCAGGCCCACCTGATGCCCCCCTGGATGTGCAGATTGAGCCGGGGCCCTCACCTGGAATCTTGATCATCAGCTGGCTCCCAGTAACAATTGATGCTGCTGGCACCTCCAATGGCGTCCGTGTCACAGGCTATGCCGTTTATGCTGATGGGCAGAAGGTATGGCCTGGGCACTCTCCCTGTACTCTGGGAGCAGGATGTGGGGTCTTTCCTTGCCACTCTCAGAAGCCTAGTCTCCCCGCCTGGCACAGGGATGCCTGGCCCCTGGCATTTGGGCACTGTGTAGCAGATTAGTTAGGAGCACAGAGTTTGGTAGCAGATGACTGGGATTCAAAAACCACTGCACTGTGTGGACAGGATGATTAGATGAGATAAGGCATGCCACGGGCTTAGCACAGGGCCTGGCCATTGTTGTCATTGTGTCATCACAATTGGCCATCTCAGCCTCCCTTTCCTGTGCTTCCTGTGCTTCCTCCATCCTGCAGATCATGGAGGTGGCCTCGCCCACAGCAGGCAGTGTGCTGGTGGAGTTGTCCCAGCTGCAGCTGCTGCAGGTGTGCAGTGAGGTGGCTGTACGTACCATGTCACCCCATGGCGAGTCAGCCGACTCCATTCCAGCTCCTGTCGCCCCAGCCCTGGCTGTGGCCTGCCTGCCAGCCAGGGTCTTCTGCCCCTCACCACGACCAGGCTCGGAGGCCAGACCACCCCTTGCTCCAGCTTCTCCAGGGCCTGGAGACCCCAGCTCTCCCCTCCGGTGCCCTGACCCCCATGGAACTCGAGAGCCCCCTGGGGGCCCCCCAGCAAGCCCTCCCAGAGAGACACCAAAAGGATCCCAAGAGGAGCTCCCAGCACCTTGCTCCCAGGTAGCCGGCTGGGGAGGGCGGAAGCAGGTGGAGGCTGGGAGAAGGGCCTGGGCTTGGGCCCTTCCTCAGTGCCTTCCATTCCAGGAGGAGGTTGGGGCAGCTGTGCTGGGTGCCTCAGAGGACAGGAGGGCCAGTGGGCCAACCGTGAGGGAGACCGTTCCTGGCCCTGCAGCGTCCTCACTCGCCAAGGAGGAGGCCGAGTGGACTGCAGGAGAGGCCTGCCCAGCACCCTGCTCTACGCAGGAAGCCCTGGCCCAGAGGGTGCCCAGTGCTGAGGCCTGCTGCGGAGGAGACACAGCGTCTGGGCTGAGGCCCAGGGCTGAGGTATGGGATTGAGGAAACACTGGCCCACCTCAGAGGATCAGGGCCTGCCTCCCTGCCTTCTGCCAAAATCTGGTTGCGCTCTCCTCTTATTCTCTGCTCTGGTCTGTGCTGTCTGTCTGTCTATTTCTCTGTCACTTTATCTTTCCAGATTTCTCTTTCCCTTTTGGCTAACATCCTCTTCTTCCCCGCCCACCCATTGTGTGAGCCCCCTATTTGGGGCATGACCCTCTCTCCCTCTGCCAAAGGGCCACTTTCGTTCTGGCTGGCGCTGACCCTGCCAGAGCCGCCCATCCCCCTCACTGTCCTTCCCTCTCTCCTCCTTTGTCTCACCTCTTGCAGAGGGAGGACACGGCGGAGCTCGGGGTCCGTCTGGTGAACTCCCTTGTGGACCATGGCCGCAACTCAGATCTATCAGACATCCAAGAGGAGGAGGAAGAGGAGGAAGAGGATGAGGAGCTGGGTTCCAGGACTTGCTCTTTCCAGAAGCAGGTTGCTGGCAGCTGCATTAGGGAGAATGGGGCCAAGGTAACGGGGTGCAGAAGAGCTGGTGGGCCCTAGACCTCGGGTTCCAGGGTCCTCTACCCCCTGTGTCAGCACTGCTCCAGCCGTCACTGAGTGCCCGCAGCATTCTAGGTGTGTGGCCTGGGCCCTGTCCTAAGCAGCAGATAGGAAGTGGCTCAGGGTTGGCCTCTGCCCTCCTGGGAAGAGAGGGGAGAATGAGGAGCTCTTTTCTGCACCTTTTCCTGCCCTAGCCCACCAGACGCAGCACCCTGGCCATCTGAGAGCCTTGTGTTGGGAGCTTCTGGGGAGGGGGTGGGGAGGCCTCTCTGCTATTACGGGTACAGTTTGCTCCCTGATGCTCCTGTCCCTTAGGGGCCCAAGCATCTGTGCCACTGTTCCTTGGGTGTGTCCCTTATTCTTCCTCTGGCTCTGCCCTGGGCATGCTGTGTGACTTTGGGCCAGCCTCCTTCTCTGGTCTTTCCTCTTGGAGAAAACTGAGGGAGAACTGTGGGATTGCCTGCAACCCCTGCCCTCATCTGAGGGCAAAGGTCATAGGTCTCTTCTCTCCCCATGGACCTCTCTTTCTTGCTGCCCTCCTCCCCCCACCCCCCAGCCCCAGCCCGACCCCATCTGGGAGACTGACAGCGACGAGGAGGTCTTGGAGCAGATCCTGGAGCTGCCCCTCCAGCAGTTCTGCAGCAAGAAGCTCTTTAGCATCCCTGAGGAGGAGGAGGAAGAGGATGAGGAGGATGAGGAGGACAAAGAGAGGCCAGGGGCTGGCTGTTCTTCCCGAGACCCTGGCCTTCCTGAGCCTGCAGTGCTGGGGCTGGGCTGTGACAGCAGTCTGCCCCGAGGACCTGGCCCGTGTCCGTTGTCTCCTGAGCCCTCCAGGGCTGGGGACCGCCTGGAGGACATGCCCGGACTAGTTGGTGGAAACAGCTGGAAGAGAGGAAATGGCTCCCCCGAGAAGCCCCCAAACCGCAGGCGGTCCCCAGATCCCCGTGAACACTGCAGCCGACTTCTCAGCAACTGCGGGCCCCAGGCCTCTGGACGACCAGGCCCCACACGGGAGAGGGGGGCCCCCGTTGTGGGCGAGGGTGCCAAGGGTGGACCAGAGGCTGGTGGGAGAGGGCGGCCGGCCCCTTCCCGGAGGTGCCCCCGGGGCCGGGCCCCAGAATCTGGCCTGGCCAGCTGCCTTTCTCCCAAATGCTTGGAAATCAGCATCGAATATGATTCTGAGGATGAACAGGAGGCGGGCGGCGGGGGCGTCAGCATCACCAGCTCCTGCTACCTCGGAGATGGGGAAGCCTGGGGCACAGCACCTATAGGAAGGCCCAGGGGGCCTCTGAAGGCCAATTCAGGCCTCAACCCCTACCCACGCCTCCTGGCCTGGGAGAAAGGGGAGCCAGAACGGAGAGGCCGCAGTGCGACTGGCAGAGCCAAGGAGCAACCCTCCCGGGTCCGTGCCCACTTCCCACCCTGGGCAGCTCCCCGCCTGCTGCCACCTGGTGGCTCTGCTTTCTGCCCACCAGCCACACCCATTCCACACTGCCGCCTCCATCAGCAGAGGTGGAGCTGGGCCTCCAAGCTCCCTCACCTGCCTCCTCCCACCCACATTCCACTGCTTTGCTGCTTCTGCTGATCGGAACTGGGACGCACAATATTCTGTTATCATTAGTCACCAATTGCTGCCAACCAGCCCCCTGCCTCCGGGCAGGGTGGCCTTTCCTCTGCTGAGCTAGTTACATCTTCAAGACACTGACTATGATGTCCGTCCGGCATCCCCCAACCCTGATGCTGAGAAAGGCCCTCCTCTCACACGCTCCTTGCTTCTCGGCCAGCTTTGAGATCCAGCCTCAGTCCCCTCTACTCCATGCATCTTCTGGGGTGGCTAGAGTGGGGGCCTCCCCTCCTGTCCTTCCTGCCCCTGTGGGGGTGTCTGATGTCTCCAGCGAGGTTGGGCCAAGGCTCCAGGAGAGGAATGTTGTGTCCCTGCTCTGCTGCGCTGCTTGTGCTGATGGGCACGCCTGGGGGAGTGCATATGGGGTCCTGTCCCTGCTGAGGTGCCTGCCAGAGGAGTGACGCGTCACTTCTGCCGTCTGTTCCCCTCTCTTTGTAGGCAGCAGAGTCGGGGGAGCCCAGAGGGCAGAGGGGCCCCCCACGGAAAGGGGGCCGGGCCCCCAGGCCCACCGAGCTGGGTGAGCACCTGGTGGGGGCTGGGCTAGGCTGAGGGGGCCTTTCTTAACTCCTCGGCAAGAGCTGATTGTCATTGCTGTCTCCCCAATCCTTTCCACAGCCCCTCCGAGGAGTCCCCCAGAAGTGCTGGCTTACCAGGACCTACCTGTCAGGGTCTTTGTGGCCCTGTTTGACTATGACCCTGTGTCAATGTCACCCAACCCTGATGCTGGGGAAGAGGAGCTCCCCTTCCGGGAGGGCCAGATCCTGAAGGTGACTGACTCACCGTTTGGTCCTCCCCCCTCCCTCCTTTCCTGCACTGGAGGAATTATAGCCATGCATGGGTGAGAACTCGGCTTCTCGAGCTGGATGATGTGGGGTTGGATCCTGACTGCCACTTCTAGCCATGTAACCTTGAGTAGGTTAACTAACTCCTCTGGGCCTCAGCTTCCTCACGGGTCAAATAGGGATGATCTTAGTGTCTACCTCACGGCTTTTTGCTGTTGCTCTGAGGTTCAGGAGATCCCGTCTGCGGTGGGCTGGGTCGATGGACGTGTAGACAGTGGGTGACGATAATATGGAGAGGGCTATTTTCTCTCGCCCTCTGATCCTTATTCTTTGCTGTTCTCCCTGTTTCCTGCCCCATGGCCTGTGAAAGGAGAGCACTCTGCAGTTCCGAGTGTGGTGTGCGGGGCTCGGGGCCTGCGGTGCAGGGCACAAGCTGAGCTGGCCTCCTGAGACAACTGGTCTTTGCCTCCAGGTGTTTGGGGACAAGGATGCCGATGGCTTCTACCGGGGTGAAGGTGGGGGCCGGACAGGCTACATCCCCTGCAACATGGTGGCTGAGGTAGCTGTGGACAGTCTTGTGGGGAGACAACAGTTGTTCCAGCGGGGTTATTTGTCCCCAGATGTTCTCACTGAGGGCTCAGGTATGACCTGCTGCTGTCCCTCACCCAGCTCCCAGCACCCCAGTTCCAACTCAACCCCTCCTGAGCAGTTTGTGTGTCTGGAGCAGCTGGAGCACCTCATTTATCCAGAGTCTAGCGGAGCCACTAGGACCTCGCAGAGGCTAAGGCCACTGTGGCCAGAGCAATGAGCTCACCAGCTGGAGTGGGGTCTGCTGCAGGGGGATGAGGCATGTGTTTTGGATCCTGGAGGTCGGGGATGGGAGAGGAATGCCCTTTAGAGATGAGCATAGGAACCCTGGCGCAGTCCCAAGAGGAGACTCCAGAGTCACTGTCCTGTCCCGCTCCCCTGCCTCAGTTTCTCTTTTACGTCTACTTGCCTTCCTGGATCAGGGCATTGTCCCTTTGTGTACTCCACAGCCCGCACAGCTGGGCCTCCTCCCAAGCCCCGCCGCTCCAAGAAAAGTGAGTGAGACCTCTTCTCCCTCGGGGGCCTGTGAGGATGAGTGGGGCGGGGGCACTGCTGGGCTCTCTGGGGAGACACACTTGGAGTTTTGAGCAGGTGAAGGGAATCAGAGCAGACCTGCACCCACATCCATCCCCTCCAGTGGGAGGTTTTTTCCTAACGGGGATAGAGGACCTCTGTTCCCAAAAGCACCTGACAGTAAATTCTGTGTAACCTGGAGCAAGTCACTTACCCTTTCTGGGCCTCAGTTCACTACCAAAACCAAAGGCCAGGGCTGATGTACTCTCTGAGCATCTTTCTCTGTTGTATGAGGCTGAGCATCTTGCCTGCCCAGCACCACCCCGGCCTTGGATGAGGAGGGAAGTGAGGGGCAGGGCTCACACGCACATTCTCTCCACAGCTGAGTCAGAAGGCCCTGCCCAGCCCAGTGCAGGTGAGGGGCTGTCCCTGTGCAGGGGAGACTGGGGAAAGAGGTGGGGCGGGGCGGCCCCTCTGGCCTCTCTCCAGGGGCCACAGCTAGTGGGGAGGTGGTGACTAGGGGGTGAGCAGGCCTCCAGTGCGGAGGATAGTATGGGGTGGGAGATTAGAGAGAGTTGTGAGTCTTCTGCCCCTTGCCTGCAGGCTTCCCCCAGCCGGTCTCCTCTGCCAGCCTGAAAGCTCCCCGCTCCATGGTGGCTGCATTTGACTACAATCCCCAGGAGAGCTCCCCCAACATGGATGTGGAGGTGAGACCCTCAGACTGAGCCCAGCCAAGCAAGGTGGTGGCAGGGCCTCCCTGGGCCTGACACCTGCCTTTTGGTTTCTCCACAGGCAGAGCTACCCTTCCGGGCAGGGGACGTCATTACTGTGTTCGGGGGCATGGACGATGATGGTTTCTACTATGTGAGGACATTGGGGTGGGGGTGTGCTGTACCCCATGTCATCACCCCTTTCAGAAAGGGCTCTCCCAGAGCCAGGGAGGGGGATGAGCAAGGGTTCCTGAGGGTAGCCTGGAGGAATGGACCAAGTCACCTTCCATGACAGTGATGTTGACCCATGGCTGTTCCCCCAGAGGCTTTAGGGTCAAGGGGGTGGGGTTGAGGCCTCTTTCCTTGTCTCAGTCTTACCAGCTTCTCCTCCCCAGGGCGAGCTGAATGGACAGAGGGGCCTGGTTCCATCCAACTTCCTGGAGGGCCCTGGGCCTGAGGCGGGCAGCTCAGACAGGGAGCCTGGGACACCCCAGGCTGAGAGTCAGGTCAGTGAGGAGCTGGACTCCCAGCTCAGCAGTTAGTTCTCTTCTCTGCTGGTGTGGTGTTGGGGCTAGGATAGTGTCGAGGGAGGGGCGCAGCCGGGTGCTGATCCAGGTGAGCTCTGTGCCCAGGGTGGAACTCCTGAGTTACCCCCAGAGGGAGCCTGGCCAGGGCCAGCTCCCTCCCAGTATGTGCCCCTCTCTGCAGAGGGGTGATGGCTGCGACCCTGACCCCCTGCCCATCTGACCTGGCTGCCCACACCCTGGGGCCGATACAGGTGAGGTGGCCTTGTGGAAAAGGACCCCCGTCCCCCCCACACCTCTAGCCAGTCATAGCTCCGGCTTCAGGGACCTTCCCACCCTGCTGGATCTCCCTGTCTCCCAGGTGCCTTTTAAAGCTGGTTGCCCAGCAAGGCCCAGCTTCCTGGGTTCGCATTCTTAGAGGCTGCCTCTCCTTGGGGTGAGTGGAGTACAGTTAAGCTCCAGCCTCACAGGACAGGGAGAGGGTGAAGAGGCCAGGCCCCAACCAGAAAACCCTGGGTTTCCATCTGCAGTAGTTCCGAGGCAAAGGTTATGCAAAGCAGTACCAGCCCCTGTGACCTGGGCTACCTGTGACTGGGCGGAGAGTGTGTGGGTCTGTCCATAACCCATCTCCTCTCTTTGTTCCCTGTTCTTCAGAGAACGAGAAGGAGAAGAGTCCAGTGCTAGATGGAGATAGATATATGTAGAGAGAGCAACATGTAAGTGGGGGACTGGCCCCCTCTGTCCTTACGACCCCTACTCCCCATGTCACCGTAATCAGACGGTGCTCCTTTGCCTTGAATACCGGAGCTGACCCGGCTCTTCCGCTTTCTTCCAGGGAATGGGGGAGGGAGATCTTGCCATGAGCCAGGTTTGGATATAGGATCATCCCTTCCCCTTGCCTTCACCCTGGGCAGTGCCAGCTGTCATAGGAACCCATGTCATCTTAGTATATAATGTCCACATTAGCTGACTCTTCATATTCTATAGCACATGCGGCTTATAGAATGTTCTGTGACATCCATAAACATGCCTCCTCAGCATATTATGATACTATATGACTATGGTATTGTAATATTGTGATTATTATTGGTGACAGAAGGATGACAGTGTAATGCCACCAGTAATAATGGTCTTCCTGCCCTTGTCCTCTGCATCATGACCTGTTAGGGGATCAGATGCATGATTTTACTTCCAACTTTATTTCCTCTCCTCAGGGGAATAAAACGGGAACTTAAACAGTTGGAGTCCATAGATAACCCCAAACTATTCATTTCTGGGGCTCTGTTTGTTTCCTCAGCAACCCCTCTCTCCTGGGATGTTGTGGAAGGAGCCCTGGGAGGGAGTGGGCAGGGCCTGGGACTCCCTCGCTGGCTGTCAGCCCTGGCTGGTTGGCAGTAGATGCTCTGACATCTAGGTGCTAGCAGACCTCTTTGTGGGCAGGCCCTGCCATGTCACCAGGGCCTCGGGTGAGAGTGGGCCCCAGGCTGGGTACCCAGCTCTCCTGCCTCTGGTCTGGGCTCCTTAGCTGGCTCTGGCCAGGAGACTGCCAGGATCTGGTGGAAGGTAGGGATTTGAGACAGGGAGTGGGGGGCAGCGGGTGGGGAACATGTAGGCTGGCAAGACCTGATTTGGCTGTGCCAGGCACAGGAGGTCACGGTGGGGGTGTGTGAGTACAGGTGGGGATGTGGGAATATGGGTGGGGGAGGCTTCCTGGTGGCTTTCCCGTTCGCCCAACCTGTCCTTGGGCCACTAGCACCACTGTCTGGGTGGGCCTGTGGCAGAGGGAGCCACTCATGGTTGCAAATGGAGCTGGGAGGAGATTCAGCAAAGGAGAAATGCTAAAGGAGGGAGCAGGGCAGCTTCCAGAGCTAGTGATGGGGGCTGAGTGATGCCCGACTGTAAATGCCCACTCTCAGGGTCTGTTCAAGCTAGAGTCCTGATCTCCTCCCTGTGGGTGGGCACTAGCTCCGCTCCCTGAAGGACATGGGGCGCTGCACCTGCTGGGCTGGACCCGCATTCTCCTTCTGTCTGTGAGGTGGTGCAGGAACTGCCCTCCCTGGAGGGAACGGCTGCCTCTAAGCGGTCCTGTCCTTGAGCTCCCTTTCTTGGGAGGAGATCTCATGGGGGAATTTGGAGTACCCATCCCGAGGGTCAGGTCCAAGGACTCTTGATCTCTCAGCCCAGCACCATGTAGAGACCCAGAGAAAGGGAGGGGCTAGCCCAGGTCCCAAGTGGGCATGAGCAGAACTGAGACTCTGCGTCTGTCCCTTCAGACTTCCAGTTCAGTGCTCCCTCAGCACCAGCGCACCCACTCACCTGTCTGCTCCATACGTGTGGGGCAGTGGTGGGGGGTGGGGCTCTGGTTCTCCACCATGGTTCTGTGACAAAGGGGGCTGCAGGCACCTGAGGTTGTAGGGTACAGGAGTCAGGGTGGGGCAGGGAGTTGGGCCCTGACCTTGCCCTTTTCTCTCATGTTCTAGGACCGGGCCAGCTCAACACAAGGACCCCCAGAGCCCCCAGGCTGGCCCTGTGCCCCTGGCTCTGGCAGCTTCCCCAGGATTGGACTTGGGGGGCCTCAGGGCACAAGAGAGAAGGTGCGGGGTCTCCTCTCCAAGGGGAAGCAGCTCTTCAGGAAACTGGGCTCTGGGAAGAAGGAGTGATGCTGAGGCCCATCCTGCAGGCAGACGTGGTCCCCTGGGGCCCCCAGATCACCGTCCCGGCTGGGTGGGGAAGACCATGGACTCCGGTTTTCCTGAGTTAACACTGTGGCACTTGGATGGGAATCAGAAACTTGGCGAAGGTCAGAGCTAGATGCGTCCTTAAGGATGAGTCTTCTGGAAGGGCACCTTCCTCTTACAGGAGGGGAAACTGAGACCCAGAGTGAGGGAGTAACGTGGCCAAGGTGGCTGAGCACCTCAGTCACAGAGCCACGACTGGACCCAGGACTCTTGACTCCTAGGCCACCCACCTAGGCCTTGGTTCCCACCACGCTATGCTAGTCCCTTCTGTGGCCCTTTCCCAGGATGGGGGCCCCCTGGGGGGAGAGAGGGGCCTGTCCCCTCTGATGGCACTGACTATCCTGATCATGTCTTCCCTCCCTTGAAGGAAAGTTTGCACTGGATTCTCCTGAGCTCCACCTCCCATGGGGCAGGGGGGGCGGAGCCGTGTATATATGTACATACTCAGTGCCTCAGTCCAGCTTCCTCCATCTCGCTTCCACTGCACAGGCCCGGGAAGGAGAAAGGCCATGCCAAAGCGGGCCTAACCCCGCCCCCATAGTGCTCCACCCCTCCTGCCAGCCTGGTCTCCTGGCCCCTGTGTGTTCCCCGCCCCCAAAGACCCAGGGGGCCAGTGGGCAGAAAGCAGGAGTAGGGTTTGCCTTATTTTGCTCATCGGATTCAATTTCTCTTTTGCATTGTTTTCCTCTGGCCCCTGTCTGAGTCTGGGGCTGGGGAAAAGGACAGATTTATGCACCTGTTGTCATACCTTCCCTGTTCAGAGTGGGGGAGGGGGCTAGCCACTCTACCCTACCCACCCTTCCCCTGCCCTCGGCTGGGTGAGTGTCTCTGCATGTTCCCTTCGCTGTGGTGGGAGGCTGTTTCACTGAAGCCCCACCCCCACCTTGGTCTCCATGGGTGTGGAATGGTGGGGGCATTTGTTTAAAAAGACATTTTATTATAATAAAGTCTATTTTCACAAAACCCATGCTGGGCTCTACCTGGGGCGAAGGACTCCTCAAGGAGCAGGTCATGCTGGGCTTTGGACTCGACTTCGGAACCCAGAAGTTACATCCAAGGGTGACTGGGGCAAAACTAATGACACCAAGCAGACCAAGCAACTCTTGAGTTTTGTTTCCTAAGAAGAAGGTTTGGCAGCTTCCTGAGTCTCAGCTTGTGGGACCAGATGTTTGGAGTTGGGGCAGGGTCCTGGAGGGAGAAAGAGACCAGGGCAAGGGGACCGGGGGGACACAAAGAGAGAAGCCATCAGTTTCAAGGTGGTCGACTGAACACACCCTGTAATCTTGATTCCCTACACCAAATTCATAGAAATAATAGGTGTAAGAAAAAACAACCAAACAAGTCAACGAACACCATCCACAGTTCCACTTGAAAGCAAGGAGGAGGACTCTCAGTAGACTGGAAATGGCAGGATTCCAGAAAAGACAGACAACAGATGGGAGATCATACTCAGAAACCTCAAAGCAGGGTGCGTGTGGGAGTGTTCTGCACGTTGCTCCATGCCTAGAGGTGGCACAAACAGAGCAGAAGAGGCCACAGGGGCTACTGACAGTGTGATTAGTTGAGGTTCCATGTGGGGAGCAATGGCCTCAGTTGACCACTGCACCTTCTCCTTCTCCCTGTGGGCCAAGGGGCAAAGGTGAGGATGTCTGCCTTTAGAGGGGAACAGTGGGAGTGGCAGCTTGGATCAGGGACCAGGCAGTACTTTAGGTGACGGGTGACACCTGGCAGAAACAAGGAGCATCACTGCCCAGGAGAAAAGCCACCAAACTGCAGCGTAAGTGTCCCCTCCGTCTCGTGGAAACTCTCCGAGTCAGCAGCAGCACCCACCCAGCGGTCTCGCAGGGCCTCTCAGGGACTAAGGCAAGGACACAGTTAAGACTCAACAGACAGACAATTTGGGAAGAACGGACATTTGAACAGTGTTGAGTCTTCTGACCTCTGAACAAAGTATCTCCATTTATTTAGGTCTTTCATTTCTCTTAGCAAGATTTTGTAGTTTTCAGTACAGATCTTCCTTTTTGTCAGATTTATCAGATTTATCCCTAGCTCTTTCATATTTTTGATGCCATTATAAGTGGAATAGTTATTTTACACTTCAATTTCTGATTCTTTGTTGTTAGGATGTAGAAACACAACTGATTTTTGTATTTGCCCTTGTATTCTGAAACCTTACCAAACTCACTTATTAGTTCTGCTAGTTTTTTGGGTAGATTCCTTAGAATTTTCTACATATGTGATCATATTGTATATAAACAAAGACAGTTTTACTTCTTCCTTTACATGTTGATGCCTTTAATTTCTTTTTCTTGCCTCACTGCCCTGGATAGAGCCTCCAGGACGGTGGTAAATAGAAACAACTGGAGCGGATGCACGTGCTTGGTTCCTGGTCTTAGGGAGAAAGCCTTCAGTCTTTCACCATGAGGGATGATGTTAGTGGCGTGTTTTTTCATAGAAACCCTTTTTCAGGTTTGAGGAAGTTCTATTCTTGGTTTGCAGAGAGGTTTATTTTTTATTTTTGTAATCAGTAGTGGATGTTGGATTTTTTCCAGTGATCTTTTTGCATCTACTGAGAGATCATATGGTTTTTCTTTCTTAGTTATGGCAAATTTCGTTGATCGATTTTTGAGTGTTAAACCAAGCCTACTTTCCTGGGATAAGTTCCATTTGGTCGTGAGCCGGGAGGAGGATGAAAGCCTTCCCTTGCATGTACTCCTCTTGTTTGGTTTGAGTAGTGTGTCCAGGGTGGAGATAAGGGGGTGGTGGCTGTGGTGGGAGACTCTAGAGTGGTGAGTCTCTGGGGTTATAGTCTGGGCTCATCCGTTTTCGATTTCTTCCCTATCCTCAAGTGGGGGACCTTACCCATTACAGAATCTCCATGTACCTCCGTCAAGGCAACAACTTCCCCTTAGGCCATCATACTCTCATCCTCGGGGCAGAGAAAAGGACCTGTTCTTTCCACTCCCTAACCTGACTGGCATCCAGCACCACTCTGTCACCCCCCTCCCTCCAAACTTCTGCTGGCCTTGAGGGGCCATTTTCCTGCCTTGCATTTGCTACAGGAGAGCCACTGATCTGATGAGGGCAACATGGTGCAGAGAAGAGGGCATGACTAGAAAGCTCTCTTTAGCCCATCCCCTGCTGGAGACGCCTGGCCCTGCCCTCGTCCCCTCTTATTCTGTGTTCCCCTCTCCAGGTCCCAGCCTCTCCTGTCTCCCTCGGAGTTTCCCACAACTCTTGTTATTTTCTGCTCTCCAACAATTTTACTTCCGTGTTTCACTTCTGTGACATCTCCGCGTTCAGGTTTGGCTGATGGATCCTGCATCCCATGTTAATTCTGCTTTGCCTGAAATAGGGGTTAGTTTCAGGAACTGGAAGTCTACTTGTAACAGAGAACTTCACAGCAATACTAGATGCGTAAAGATAATGGAGCAGTATCTTCCAAGTGCTAAAGAGAAAGAAATCTGAACTTGAATTCTATACTTATCAGTCACATGATTGAAGCCTCTCACAGGGGAAAGGCTCACTCTCGAATACCACGTACTCTCATCTCAATCTTTGATAGTGTTTGGCTTCATACTAAGAAACCAAGGTAACAGTAATCCCAAACCGTTGATTATGCGAAACAAATCAAAATTTGCTACTTTGGAGGGTTGAGGTCGAGGGACAGATTATTCTTTCGTGATAAAATTATTATATTTCCCTGGTAAAACTTTCAGAGGGGCATTGATTATAAAGTAAAAGCCTCCTCAGTTCTTTCATTTCCATTACCCAAAGGTAGCCACCGTTAATAGGCTTCTGTGCCTGCTCCCAGAATTTTCTATGCCTACTATTTAAATACACGTGGGTGCGCATGCATACATGTGCATGTATATGTGCATGTCTGTGTATTTTGCATGAATTGCAACATGCTGTATACAGTGTTTTCTCTCTCTTTTCTTTTAGCGACATATTTTTGTATATTGCTATGTATAGATCCCACTCATTAGTTTTAAAGGCTTCATAAAACACCATTATGTGGATGTACCAAAATGTGGCAAAATTTTTTTGAAGGACGTTTGGCTGACGTTTGGCTCGTTTCTTGTCTTTTGATTGTGGCAAAACGAGGCTGAAATGAACACCCTTGTGCAGATATCTTTATGCTTTCCTAAGAATGCATCTGAGGCATAAATTCCCTCCTGGAAGGAGAATTGTTGAGTCAGAGCAGATGTACATTTTGGATTTTGACTGACATTGCCATCCCATGGTGTGGGGCCAGTCTACACTTATTTTTTCACATGCAGTCTGGCAGTGGCTTTATAGTTCTTTAAAATTTTAACTAATCTGATTAGTAAAGATGATATTGAATTCTTTTACTTTGAGTTTAGTGCTTATTTTTATGTTTTTTTGTAGAACTCTGTCTCATGAAAGCTTCTACCCTCCCCACCCCCACCAATAACCACAAATATAAAGGGAACAACCTGAACAACCATTAAACATTTGTTTAAACATGTAATTTAACTTGTCTTTATCTTTACAATACTACCCTAAAGAAATTTGGAAACCATTATTTGGAACTAACAAAAGCTTAAATATTCACTCTTTTAAAAAATTTTATCTTCTTCATTAAATAGAGTGTGCAACTGTTCTAGAATGGTGAGTTAAAAATGTCCAAATTTATAAATTGAATTGAGTACAATAACAATAAGAATCTCAATAGGTTTTCTCATGGAATTAGACTTTCGAAAATTCATAAGAAAGAGTAAATATATTACAGTGTTGAAGATTCTTTTGCAAAAGAAAAATGAGGAAGGAGAATTTATCTCACCAGAAATCAAAACATATTAGAAAGTTATGGTAATTGCAGAGATGAGGTATTGACATAGGAATTGATAAACAGATCAGTAGATCAGTAGAATAGAATAATCTAGAAATATACACACATTTATGGTAAACAATAAAAGTAGTATCTCAATTCAGTGGAGAAATGACAGATTATTCAACTAAAGGTGTTGGGACATCTGGTTATCCATTTGGAAAAAAATAAAGGTAACTCCCCACCTTATACTATTCACACACAAAAATTCCAGATGCTTTAGTGAACTAAATATGAAAAATCAAAGAATTAAGGTATTAGAAGATTATATAGGAGAATATGTGTATGATCTTGAAGAAAGGAAGATGCTCCTGAACAAGTCTGAAAAGCAAATTCTTAAAGGAAAATATTGATAAATTTGACCACTTCTAAAATTAAGATACTATAAGAAACATAAATGAAAAATGACAGATTGGAAAAAAATATCAGCAACATACATAACAGCTGAAGGATTAATGTGTATCCAGAATATATAATAACTTCTACAAATCAATAAAAGTGTCACAATCCAATAGAAAAATGGAGAAAACCAAATGCAGGAAATTTACAGAAGGGGTAATAAAAATAAAAAGATGCTCAGTCTCACTATTAATTAAAGAATTAAAAATTGACCCAATAACATGACTCCAATCTTTGCTCATGGGAATTTTACAAAGTTTGGAGGACAGTTTGGCAATATCTATTAAAAATTTTAAATGCACAAAACCTGTGGCCCGCTTCTCAACCTTAACCCTGGAGAACATGTGTGTGTATGTACGAAGAGGCCTCTTGCTGCACTGTTTTCATAATGAAAAAATAGAAAACGTCTACTTCCATCACTGGAGAAATGGCCGTGTAATGGCAGTATAGCTCAATGAAGGAACACTATGTAACAGTTAAAAAAGTGAGATTGTTCTCTCAGTAGCACATGATAGATTTGTGCAATGTTTCGTTGAGTGAGAGAAACACGTTGCCGAACAATATGTATAATGTGATGTTATTTATGGAAAAATAAAGAAAGAAGAATATGTCCCACAGATCCATATATATGTATGAGCATAAAGTGAAAGGTTTGGAAGGACAAACAAGAATGACTAGAGTGTTTACGTCTAAGGGGTGGAGGAAGGGGACAGGAATTGGAGATGGTGTAATACCCTAATCAAAGGGGAGCTTTAACCTGATAATTTTATTCAAAATATATCCAGGTATTACCTGTATAAACCAAAATTAATTTTTAAAATTGTAAGGAGAGAGGTCTTTGGACTAGGTGCACTTAAGTCTGTCTGAGGAGTCATTGTCCCCCTCCGCCCCCTCCCCAGCTTCCATGGCCTCCTTCTCTCCAACCCCACACAGACAGGAAATCTGCCTGTAATCCCAACTGAATTGTTTCCTAAACGGCATTAAGAAAGAACAAGCTGTTTTGCAAGCAGCAGCAGAGAGGGCCCGTTATCCCACAGGCAGTTGGAGTTCACCCTGCAGGTGGGGACGTTTGGGAAAAGTAAGTGAGGAGAAGGGAGGGCAGGGTGTGTGGGGGTGGGTGGGGACTCCCTCAAAGGACTATAGTCTTGAGATGCAGCAGTTTCAGCACTGCCCTCCAGAGGCCACCCCCACGATGGGGAGCTAAGGGGTAATTTCTGGCACAAGGCTTGTTTGGAATAGCTCCTCAGGCAGACATTTTCTCCTTCTGGTTACTCTGCCTGCTGAGAGTCCCTGTGAGCCTCAAATACACCTGGGCCAGAGAAATAGGGACTAGAGGAAGGATCAACAGAGGCACAGACCGGGCAGACCTGCAGGGATCCCTGTTATTGGGTTGGAAACATCATAAAGTCACAGAGCATCTCAAGCCCCTATACACAAATGCAGGCCCAGAGCCCCAGCCCGGAGCCAAAGGCAGGTGGTTTGCGGATTACACATCTTGAGAATTCTCCCATCTCTACGTGGGTGGAGAGTGAAGGGCATTTTCCTGCCATTCTTTGAGAAGGCTTTAGTTTTTCAAAGAATTATTGCCTTGTCGCCACCCATGAGCAATCAGGGCAGGCCTTTCGACACCTGTGAATCATTGCAAAGCCACTGGCCTGGCTCTCCGCCTCTGGGCCTGCCCTGCCCAGTGCCCCCCTCCACTCTGCTGCTGCTTTCTAACATGCAACTCCGACCATGCACTTCACAGCCTTCATGGCTCCCCGGAGCCTTCAGGACAAGAACTTCTCAGTAGGTCAGCAAGGGTGTTGGTCCTGGGCCTCTGCCTGCCCTACTAGCCTCATCCTGCCCCACCCTTGCCCCACATTGGAACTGTCTGAAGGAAGCCCACTTGTGTCAAGGCCTTTGCTATGTCATTCTCTGGGCCCAGAATGTTCTTCCTCCCTTGTCTACTTGGTCAACTTCTAAACATTCTTCAAGATGGTCTCAAGCACCAGCTCCTCAAGAAAGCCTTCCTAGGTGCCCCCAGTTGGTCTAACTGCTCCTCTTTCATGCTCCCAAAGAACCCTGCACAAGGTTCTTTGGATAACATTGGTTTGCCTTTCTGCGTCCTCCTGTGCGATTCTTGAGAACAAGGCCTGCACTTTGCTCAGTGGAGGATGCCCAGTGGCCAGCACAGCACCTGGCACCTGATAGCTAGATTATTCTGAACTGTGCCACACTGTTGCCCTTGGCAAAGTCATTTCCTCCCCTGGGCTCTGTCTTTCTCATCTGTGCTATGAGGGGCTTGTATGAAATGTCTCTTCCCTCTTGAGCGTCAACAATTCCCCTAAAAGTGTAAAAGGACAATAATTGTCAGAGTTGATGAGAGCGATGGGGAACAGGTGCTCCTAGGCATGGCTAACGGGAGGGTGACGCGCAATCTTCATGAGGCCCCTTGACAATTTTTTTAAAAAGCCTTAAAAATGTGGATAACCAAATATGCAGCAATTTTGCTTCTAGGTCTTCTTGCCTAAAGAAATGATTGACGATCTGACTGGAGATTTAACTCCACAGATGCTGATCCTAGTACTGCCTCTAATAGCGAAAACTGGAAACAACCCAAGAATCTAACGAGAGAGGATTCGGAAATAAATCACAGCACTCCATACAAAATATTATGCAGACATAAAAGTGAAGTAAATCTGTATTTATTGACATAGAAAGATGTCCAGGCTAAATTTTTAAGTACTAAAAATAGGTTGTAAAACAATATTTAGAGTAGGTTCTTATCACTGTTTACAATACATCTTATATCTACACATAGGATAGCAAACTATTAAGTGGTGTTATTGGTGAATGGTAGGATTACGCGAAATTATTTTCCTTCCTGCTTCTTATTTATGTGCAAAACAATGACAAATCTGGAAAGAAAAAGAAAATTACCCACAACCTCACTTGATTCTAAGCAATTTTGATTTATTTTTATTTTTGCTTGTGTTCTCTGACTTTTCATGAATAGAAATATACTACTTATAGGATTAAAAATGTATTTTCAAAAGTCTATAAAATTCTAGAACCTGATTCACAAAGAGCCACTTTTCCAAGTTCACACATAGCTAGGAACTGGCAGAGCAAGGCTGGAAGAACAGCCTTCTCTTATGGACCCGGGGGTCCACTTCCCAGAGGGTGACAGGATCTCTGGGCACATTGGGAAGGTATTCTCGGTGTATCGCTGTCGCTTGTTCTTTGGCCAAGATGGTTTGGGCATAGAAGACAAGAGTGAGGGCAGGCAGGTGGCTGGAGTAGGAGGTGTGGCTAGACAAAACAAGACATGGGAGCCCAGCCTGACAAGAGCCCAAGGGAGGTGGACAAACACAGTCATTAGTCATAGAGAACTTTTCCTGCCACAGAATGGCAGCCCTTTGCCAGACTTCTTCAGAGGAGAAACTTCCCGTCTTCTATTTCAGAAAGATCCTAAAGTTCAACCCCAATCCTCCTAAACTGCACTGACCTTGTCCCAGAGAGACCCTGGGCTGCGTCACCCAACTGACCACTAACCACAAGCAGTTCTGCTTTCTCCTGGTTCCTGAAATCCGGGAGCAGAGGGTGGGGGTGTTGGAGACAGCCCTCTACCAAAAACCAAGAAGAAAGGGGAGGGGGAGGGGGATAGAGGAAGTTACCTTGGTCCTAAGCCCGCAGTCTCCAGGGTCTTCTTTCCTGTGAAGCCAACCGTCTCCAGTCAGATTTCCTGTCCCTTTAACCCTCACCAAAAATGAGGGGCTGCCCACTAAGGTTGGCTGCAGGGACCAGGTTACTGTTGGGGGTGGGGGCAGCCTTTTGGGGCTGACTGGATCATCATCACTCCAGGTGCCCCCCTCACCTTCCCTCCTCCTCTGGGGTGACTCAATTTTCCACAGCTCCTTAGGGTGTTGGCTCCTGACTTTTGCCCCTTTCAAAGGAAGCCTGGATGCTCAGTTTAACCGAACTGTGCAGGGGGGTTAGCTGTCTGTACCCTCTGGGGAAAGCACTGGTCTAGGCACACAGTGGGAGCTGAGGAACTCTGGGGTGGGGGTGCTAAGTTCAAAGGCTGGAGATAGTTCTGGTCCCTGCTTTTCTGCCCATCTCTTCCACATTAAGGACCTCTTTCTGTGCACCCCAGCCCCAGCGGGGGAGGAGAGTTCAGTCTCCAGGGGCGGGCCTCATCCGCCCCACGCCTCCCCCAGCTTGGAGGACATAAAAGCCTAGATCCAGCCGAGGGGCGCTGCCCATGCTGGGTGCACTCCGGAGGTGGGGTCGTGTGGGCTGAGTGACTGAAGCTAGCGAAGAAGGGGCACTGTGGACCCTTCCCTCAGGAGGCCTGGACTCTGTCTGTAGGCAGGACCCACGGAGGTGGGACTGGGCTCAAGGTGGGAGTGAGGAGCCCAGGAGGAGAGGGAGGGTGGGGCTTTCTTCTCCCAAATGCACTGTGGGCTTTGGACACTTACTGCACCTGCGGTCTTGTTGCAGAGATGAAGCTGCTCCTGGCCCTAGCAGGGCTCCTGGCCATTGTGGCCGTGCCCCAGCCCTCCGAGGGCACCACTCCAGGTAACAGTTCAGAAAGAAGGGAAAAGGTGGTGTGTTGGGGATGATTCTCCAACCCAGGGATTCCTTCCCTCAACGCGTCCCACTCTGGCTCTGGGGCCTGATCAGGGGCTTTGGGCTCCTTCCTGACCTTGTGACCTCTATTCTGGGCAGCTGTCCTGGGGGAGGTGGACACCTCCGTAGTGCTGACTTGCATGGAGGAGGCCAAGCGGCTGGTGGACAAGGCCTACAAGGAGCGGCGGGAAAGGTGAGGTGCTGGGCACTGCCTAGCTCTGGGCAAGGCCGTCCCAAGCCTTTCAGAAAAGGAACAGGCATGGAGAGTTTGCAGGTGGTGGTGGGGCCCTCTGGCTGTCAGTCTTTGTCTTTGGGTGTGAGGACATCTTCAAAACCAGCCCTCTCGTGGCCTTACCTCTGTCTGGATGACTAGGTCCATACCCTGTTTATAAAGAGAAACCTTCTTCCGGTCTGTGGGTCTATCTACACTGTCCTGCGTGTCCATCCCCTGGGCTGGGGCTCTGCTGAGTGTCTCTGCCTGTCTTCTCTGGCCCTCACTCTTCTCCAAATTTAGCATCAAGCAGCGGCTTCGCAGTGGCTCAGCCAGCCCCATGGAACTCCTGTCTTACTTCAAGCAGCCAGTGGCAGCCACCAGGACAGCTGTGAGGGCTGCTGACTACCTGCACGTGGCCCTAGGCCTGCTGGAGAGGAAGCTGCGGTCCCTGTGGTCAGGGCCCTTCAACGTCACTGGTACTCTTGCCCCTACAACCCCAGCCCCCAGCTCCACTAATGACCCTCCTAGTGACTCCAGCCACCTGGCAGCGATCCCCCCAACTCCTCCTTCTGGGGAGTCTCAGGGGCATCCTAGCGCCCCCCCTTTGTCCTCAGACTGCTCCCCCAACCAAGGCTCCCAAGTCTAGGATGGGAAATGGGGTCTCAGCTCCCACAACCCTCTTTCACCCGCCCTTCAGACGTGCTGACACCCGCCCAGCTGAATCTGCTGTCCAAGTCGAGCGGCTGCGCCCACCAGAACGTGGGTGTGAGGTGCCCGAAGAAGGACAAGTACCGCACCATCACCGGGCAGTGCAACAACAGGTGTGGCCGGTTGGGGGCGGCCCCTCGGTGGGCGGCTCAGGGCGGAGTCCCTGGTCCCAGGCCGGCCCGCGGCGCCACCTGGCGTCAGCTCCCTGTCCTCCCCTGCAGACGCAGCCCCACGCTGGGAGCCTCCAATCGCCCCTTTGCGCGCTGGCTGCCGGCCGAGTACGAGGACGGCTTTTCGCTGCCCTTCGGCTGGACGCCCGGGGTCAATCGCAGCGGTTTCCCAGTCCCCCTGGTGAGCACTGGCCGGCAGAGGGGACAAGGCCAGGCCCGATGCCGCGCGGGGCCCGAGACGGTCCCTGACACCCCGTGTCCCGCAGGCTCGCGCCGTATCCAACGCCATCGTGCGCTTCCCCACGGAGCAGCTGACCCCGGACCGGGAGCGCTCGCTCATTTTCATGCAGTGGGGCCAACTGCTCGACCACGACCTCGACTTGAGCCCTGAGCCAGCCGCCCGGGTCTCCTTCATCACTGGCGTCAACTGCGAGACCAGCTGCCTGCAGCAGCCGCCCTGCTTCCCGCTCAAGGTTCTCCCTTCTTCCCGCTCACCGCTGCCTGCCTGGTGGGGAAATGGTGCCTGTTCATGGAAGTGGCCACCTCCCTCTGTGCCCAGGTTTCCTTCCCCAGCTCCTGAGTGAGGCTGGCCCTGCCCACCCATCCCTCCTCCTCTCGGCTGAGGACCTTCCCACCGTCCCTTAAACATGTGTGTGTAGGTGCCCGGTGCTCAGTCCTTCTTCCTCCCCACAGAGGGGCACCTCCTCGCGGCCCACATAACACAGAGCCTGGGTAGTGGGGTAGGAGCAGGGCTGAGAGTGGACTGGTTGGTTGAGGCACATGCTGAGTAGGGAGAAGAGGAGAGAAAGGAAGGAGAATCCCAGAGAGAGGGAGAGAAAGAGGCAGACAGGGGCCAGGAAAGGGATAAGGAAGAGGACTAAGAGTGTGGAGACCACATCTGGAGAACAGTGGGGAAGAGCAGACACAGAGGAGAGGCAGAGAGAGAAAAGGGAGGTTGGAGGGGGGGGTGGGGGGGTGGTCAGTGGACTGACAGGCCACCTCTGGGCCCCACCCCCGCCCCACCCCTGCATTGCCCAGTCAGTGTTCAAGTCATCACCCCTGAAGCTCAGAGCGCTCTGCTGGTGGGAACTCAGGCAGTAATCCCTTGTGGGCCTTGAGAGGCCTCCCTGCAGGCTGAGGGGGCCAGAAGTCCTGAGGAATCCCCCCTTTTGGTGTCTGGGTCTCGCCTTCTGCTCCTGGACTCCAGGCTGCTTCTGAGGCGGTACCAAGGTCTTCAGCAGGTGGACAGGTGGAGAGCCACTCCTACCCGCTGTCCCTCCCCTCCGTGAGCCAGCCCGGTCTCTCTCTGTGCTGCAGATCCCGCCCAATGACCCCCGCATCCAGAACCAAAGGGACTGTATCCCCTTCTTCCGCTCCTCCCCAGCCTGCACAGAGAACAACATCACTATCCGCAACCAGATCAACGCGCTCACCTCTTTCGTGGACGCCAGCATGGTGTACGGCAGCGAGGACCCCGTGGCCATGAAGCTGCGCAACCTGACCAACCAGCTGGGGCTGCTGGCCATCAACCCCCAATTCAGTGACAAGGGCCGGGCCCTGCTGCCCTTTGACACCCTGCACGATGACCCCTGTCTCCTCACCAACCGCTCTGTGCGCATCCCTTGCTTCCTGGCAGGTCAGTCCTGGGTGGGGACCTGGGATGGCACGGGGGTGCTCTCTGCTGGAGCCATAGTGGGCCTGTTTGTGAGCACCTGGTGGGTTTGCATTTAGAGAGACTTTGATCTCACCAACTTCAGGATATTAATCCAGTTGCCTTGGTGACAAGTTGGATGGAGCCAGACAGGCAAAAAAACAAAACCAACAAAAAACAAAAACCCAAACCTAGGAGACTCAGGGATGGCCAAGGAGCCTCCGTCCATCTGTCCATCCCTTTCTCTGTCTCTCTCTTTCCCTCTGGACTCTGGTAGAGAGGAGAGTTGCATTCCCCCTAGGGACAAGAAACTAAAGGGACAGAGAACAATGTGGCACCCCCACCCTCTAGAACCACATTATCCAATACAGTAGCCACTAGCCACATGTGACTATTTTCATTTAAATTTAGGTTAATTAACTCCATGTGTCTATGTGTGTGTTGGGTGGGAGGGTCCCATACACAAAGGCATAAGCCATGGTCCTTGTCATCAAGGAGTCCCAGTCTCAGGGACGGGACGGTCGCAAGTCATGTGTCAGAGCTGATGCCTATTGAATGAACATCTCCGACCAGCAGTGCCCCTGAACAGAAGAAGCTATTTTGGTGGATTAGGGCATCAAGGGAGGCCTCCTAGAGGAGGTATACACTGAGTGTGGCGTGGAAAGATGGGTGGAGACAAGGTTTGGGTAGGAGGCATTTCAGGCCTTGGCTGGGGAGGTAGTGTCAGTGGAGAAAGTCCTGTCTGGGATGGAGGTTTTAGGAATAACAGTAGCTTATGCTTTCCCAAGGGGACACCCGCTCGAGTGAGATGCCTGAGCTCACCTCCATGCACACGCTCTTTCTGCGGGAGCACAATCGTCTAGCCACGCAGCTCAAGCGCCTGAACCCTCGCTGGAATGGAGAGAGGCTCTACCAGGAAGCCCGGAAGATCGTGGGAGCCATGGTCCAGGTAGGCAGTCCTGAGTTTCGGTGATGCCAGGGGTCAGGCAGACTTGGGATCCAAATGTACCTCTGCCACATCCTAGCTGTGTGACCTTGGGCAAATTAACCCTCCGTTTCTTCATCCGCGATGCTGTAAGGAGTAAAGGACGTATATGAAAACACCTGGCAGACAAGGGTTACTTGCCTTCCATCCCCTCCTCAGGCTTGCTCCCCTTTCTTCTGTCCTGTCCATCAGGAATGGGATTGGGAGGATTGAGTGGGTGGGTCTAAAGCGCCTGGTGCATAGCAGCTGTTCAGTAACTGCCTCTCCTTTCCTTCATCTCCTCGGCACTCTCGCTCCTTTGCACACTCACCTCTTGTTTTTGGCTCTATCATAGCTCCCTGATCTCCTTATTCTTATTTACCCCTGAGCAATGATCCTGGTTCTCTCTCCCAACTTTTGATGCTCCAGCACCCCCACCCTGTCCCCAAGATATAAACACAGATAGAAATACACCTTTTTAAGACTCCTAGACTCTGGACAGGAAAAGGGTTGCATTGGCTGAGGGTGAGTTTCTGATTTACACTAAGAATTTAAGAGAGATTCATTTAAGCCTCAGAGGAAATTCCAGAGTCTAGAATCTAGAGTGAGACTGTTCCACGCTTCTCCTTTCACTGGGGGAAATCATGTAGGGTGGCCCCTTTCCTGCTTTTCTCTCCTCCTTCCACAAACATATATTGAAACCTATTGTGAGCCAGGCACTTGCTGGGCACTGAATAAATGTCAAGAGAAATGAGATACAACCCTTACCCTCAAGGAGCTTATAATTAGTAGGAGAAATGAGCTATTAATAACCCAAGGACAAGGCAGCTATTGCAACGACTAACAAAGCCCTTTGTTATTTAATCCTCTAAGGCAGAGGGCAGTATAATTACCCTTAGTTTACATTTGAGGAACTGGGGCTCAGAGAAGTTAATAACTGGCCCAAGGTCACACAGCCAGCAAGCAGAAGAGCTCTGTTTATGCCTCTCAGTGACATGCGGTTAGACACAGATCCAGTGCTGTGGGAAGCAAATCCCTGGCCATAGACAAAGGAAGGATCCCCCAAGCCAGGAGCAGGTAGAGAATCTGCAGGGAGGGGTGAGTGGAGAGGCCACTCTGAGTGACTTTTCTTTAGATCATCACTTACCGGGACTACCTGCCGCTGGTGCTGGGGCCAGAGGCCATGAGGAAGTACCTGCCCAGGTACAGATCCTACAATGACTCAGTGGACCCTCGTATCGCCAACGTCTTCACCAACGCCTTCCGCTATGGCCACACCCTCATCCAACCCTTCATGTTCCGCCTGGACAATCAGTACCGGCCCATGCAGCCCAACCCCCGGGTTCCGCTCAGCAGGGTCTTTTTTGCCACCTGGCGGGTAGTACTGGAAGGTGAGCAGGACCGAGGTCAGCAAAGAGTGGGCTGGCAGCTGAGAGTGGGGTGGGGAGGGGCTTGGCCACGGGGAGCTAGGGTGGGAGAAATCCTCTTTTCTTCCATCTTCGGGGATTGGTCTGGCTTTCCAGTCTCAGTTCACCTGACTCTTCTTCCACATCTAATAATAAAAGATGGGGTGGAGATGGCTCATAGGGAGCTGGCTCCTTCCTGTGTGTTGTGACTCTCAGTGACCTAGGAGACCAGGGGCTGGGTGCATCCCAACCTTGCAAGTCTGAATGGCATAATGCTCCGAGACCTCGATGCCCTGGTGAGGACCTGCCCACGCGGGCCACCTCGGCACCAGGAGCTGCGTGTGCCCAGCCTTCTTCTGCAATCCCTTCTACTCCACCTTGGACTTGTCCCTGACTCCAATCTGAGCTCTGATACTTGAGCCAGATACTTCCCCTAATCTTGCCCCTCTTGCCCGCAGGTGGCATTGATCCCATCCTCCGAGGCCTCATGGCTACCCCTGCCAAGCTAAATCGCCAGAACCAAATTGTGGTGGACGAGCTCCGGGAAAGGTTGTTTGAGCAGGTCATGAGGATCGGGCTAGACCTGCCTGCTCTGAACATGCAGCGCAGCCGGGACCACGGCCTCCCAGGTGAGGGGCTGCAGGAGTGCCCCCCCACTACCCCACCTCCCACTCCAGGGCCCTGCCCTCTCCAGTGCCCCTGGCTGCCCAGGGCTTCCCCCAACCCCAGCACCTTGCTCTTAGGAAGTGGTCTGAGGTCAGGCCCCTCCCTTCTCCTGGGCCCGCCTGGTCCATTTTCAGCTCCTCCTGGCCCCCTTCGTGTAGCTGTAACCCTCAAACTTGAAGCATCATCATAATAACAAGTCCCCTCCCTGCCATAGTCTGAGCATCTGTGTTCATCATCATTTCATTTCGCTTTATTTTACATGAACTCGGAAGGGAAGAGAGTGTTATCACTTCCATTTTACTGATGAGGAAACTGAGGCTTAGAGAGATTCAAAACCTGCCCAGGTTATCCGGCCAAATCAGTGAGAGCTGGAATTTGAACTCAGATCAGCCTAACCCTAAAACCTGTGCCTGCATTATCAGACAGATGGTGTGGCTGAGACTTCTAGATATACTTCACTCCTCACAGTTCTGAGATCTTCAGAGGGGGACAGTGAGATGTCCCTATTCTTGGACCTGGCAGGAGTTATGGCAATTTGCCTTAGGGTGGGAGGGCAAGGGGGAGAGATTGGGTCCTGGAGAGGCCCAGCTGTCCCTCTGGGCTGAGCCAAGGGTCCTGTGTCCTCCTCCCCGTCATGTACCTCTGTACGTGGCCTTGGTGTGTTGGGAAGGTGGGTTTTCTGGGACCGACCCACAGCCACTTCTCCCCTCCCCTCATGCAGGGTACAATGCCTGGAGGCGCTTCTGCGGGCTCCCGCAGCCCAGCACGGTGGGCGAGCTGGGCACAGTGATGAAGAACATGGACCTGGCGAGGAAGCTCATGGAGCAGTATCGCACGCCTGACAACATCGACATCTGGATGGGAGGCGTGGCCGAGCCCCTGGAGCCCAAAGGCCGCGTGGGCAAGCTCCTTGCCTGCCTCATCGGGACCCAGTTCAGGAAGCTCCGCGATGGTGATCGGTGAGGAGGCAGGCCGAGCGGCCCAGGCCTGTTGTGTGGCTGTGGGTCTATCCTTGAACCTCTTGGGTTCCTCCTATGAAATGAAGGGCTAGAAGGAACCTGTGACTTTCCAGTGTGTTCTGGGGAGACTCAAGGTCATCTCTAATGTGCTCTGAATCTGTTGGGGGTGCAGCAAGGAGGGACCTGAACCTCTCTGTGTTTCATGGTGCAGCCGTGGTACCGTCTTTCACTATTGAACTGTCCCATCCTTGCTTTCCCATGTTTTTTTCTAGTGTCATTTCATGGTGGTTTTGACATCTACCATACCCAGTTCTCACCTAGCCTGTATTGTACCTTTGGGAAAATTAGGAAATGGTGTCCCTCTCTGGGTAGACAAATTAAAAACCACCTCCAAGATTCTCTCCACCCCCATGGATGCAGCCCCGGGCCAGGGCACAGGACTTTGTGAGCGAGTGTGGGCCCAGCTCCCTGTCTAGCATTAGTGGTGCCCCGGAGGCCACTGGGATGGGGGGAGCCAGGCAGCCGTGCTTTACTCTGCACTGTGAGGGGGGCTCTCCTTGTTTGAAAACCCCTGGGCTGCCCGAGGCCTGGGGCTCTCCCATGCTGTACAGTGGCTGTCTGCTGTGATGCCCCTGCAGCTGGGGAGCAGCTCAAGCCAGCTGGTGCCATCCCAGCCCAGGACAGCCTCAGGGCAATGTCGTGGGTGTTCCCATGCAGGTTTTGGTGGGAGAACAAGGGAGTGTTCAGCACGCAGCAGAAGCGGGCCCTGGCCAAGATCTCCTTGCCCCGCATCATCTGTGACAACACAGGCATCACCACCGTGTCCAAGAACAACATCTTCATGTCCAAAACATTCCCTCAGGACTTTGTCAACTGCAGTACACTGCCCACATTGGACCTGTCTTCCTGGAGGGAGAGGGACTGGAGGCTGGGTAAGGGGGTGCTGCGGTGAGGTGGAGGCTGGGCACACCTGGGCTGGCCAATTGGAACCACAGAGATCTCCCTTACCTAGGCGAGCCCATCCTTGTTCTGGTGCCAGCTGAGAAAACGAATGGCTAGATATTCATTTGTGTGTGTGTGTGATGTTTATAAATTGCATTTCATATGTGTACGTTGTGATCGTGGGTAGTGTTTCATGTGCTGTGTATGTGTGTCATTTCTGTGATGGTGTGTGGCTGTTTATGTGAGTATTAAGCACATGGAAGGCAGCAAAGTGGCTTGGAGAGGAGCACAAGCTTAGGAGCCAGACTTCTTGGGTTCAAATCCTGGCTCTGCAGCTTCCCAGCTGTGTGACCTTGAACAAAGTACTCAACCTCACTAAGCCTCAGTTTTCTTCTTTGTAAATAACAGCTGTCATGGCTCCTCAGAAGGCCCATTTGCATCCTCTAGTTCTTTGTTTATTAGCACTTACTATCTGCCGGGCACTGTGCTAGGCATGGGAAACATACAGAGAATGTTGGGCACCGTTTCTGCCTCATGGCCCTTGCACATTGACAGTGTCCCACTTAGCAGAGGTGAACCAGAGACCTCTGGAGGACCGGCCATTAGCGGTTGGGCTGTGCCTTATGGTTGAGTTATGGGCCCAGTGGAGCCAGGCTCAGTCTGTGGCTCCCCTTTTGCTTTCTTACCTTGTTCTCTTGCTTATTCACAGGAGCCTGACTGGAGAGGAACTGGGACCCACGGGCCCTTTTGTACCATTTGTTTGTACCAGACATTCATGATAATAAAGAGCCACTTATGGGGATCTTTACTCTGTCTGTGTCTGCACTGGGGCTGGAGCCTTAGCATGAGGCTGGCTCTGGGCTCTGAACTTGAAGGAGTGTGGTCTGTGCTTCAGGGCCCGGCGTCTTCTGAACTAGGGGTGAGGGCGGTGGGAGTCCTCCTTCGGCTGATCTGTACATGGAAGGCAATGAGTTCCTAGAAGCCTAGGGACCAGGGCAAACCGAGCAGACACTCTTCCCTCACCTTCCACCCACACCACCCCGGAGAACAGGGAGCGTGCTCACTAAGCCCTCATGCTTATTTACTGCTCTGGCTAATATTTGCTACATGCTCACTCTGTGTCAGGCCTGTGCCAGGTGCTGGGAAACAGAGGGTCAAAATGCTGTCCTGTGGGAGAGAAAGAGCAGAGGTGTGACGGGAAGGTAGGCCCTCCCCAGTTGACAAGACCTCTGGATTCTGCATCCCTGCAGCCTGGCACCATGGTTCAGAGGCCTTCAAGACAGCAGACTCCTTCTCACTTTTGGCTTCACGTGGTCAGGTCCCCAAAGCAGGGAGAGCAGAAGGAGGGTATTTCCCTAATCTTGTCTGGAGCTTGGTCCCTTTATCTGACGGATGAATTCCCTCTCCCTTCTTTCCCTTCTTCCCATATTTGGGGAGGGGCACCCACAGCTGGGAGCCTGAAGGTGTGCAGGATGCTGGGGCTAATGTACCCATAGGAGCCCCAGGCAACAGTAGGATCTCGCCATGGCAGGGTAAATACTGCTCACCTCCATCTCACTGATGAAGAGAGGCATGCCAGACAGGTGAAGGGACTCATCCAGGCTTCGAAGAAGTGGGTGCCAGAGCCAGGGCTGCAGCCCAGGTCTGGCTCCTGGGGTTTTCCCACAGGAAGACTAAGTGCCTCTCACCCCCACCCCATCAGTCAGGGTACCTGAAGGCCCCGGCTACACTGACCTTACTTGGAGGGTCATTTTAAAAGAAGAAAACATGAATATGTATTGGGCAGCCGCACAAGGAATATTCTGGAGCTGCCCCTTCAGAGGCCTCAGAGGCTCCCGGGATTATCCCAGAAGAGGGTGTTTCCCAGAAGGGCCCCTGGAAGGGATGCGAACTTGAGCTGTCAGGGAATCCAGGCTTGGATTTTCTCCCTGTTTGATCCTTTGGCACCACCCCAAGCCCTCTCTCTTGCCACTCCACGGCCATTACTTCTTTCCCCAGAGGTCCCTTGCAGCCTCCTTTTCTTTGAGAGGTCTTTGAAATCCCACCAAACCATGCCCTCTCACCCCACAGACTCAGGCACGCAGCATCTTAGTGGTTAGACAGGTCTGGACTGTAAACACGTCATTACTTATTTGGCAGTGATCCCAAGGCCTGCCTTCCAGAAGGGGACAGTGTCATTGCCAGGATCTTTAGTCAATCATCAGATGTTTATTGAGCACTTACTGTGTGCCAAGCACTATGCTGGGTGGCACGCATGGAGATACTGGGAAGCAGGCTGAAGTCCCTGGCTCAGAAGCTTACAATCTAGTTTGAGAGGACAGGAGGAAAGATAGGGGTGCAAAGCCTTCAGCCAGACTTGTTCCAGGGACAGGATGGGTGACATCTGGCAAGCTAGCCTGGAAAGGCATGTCAGAGGGTCTGTTCATGATAGAAGGGAGGATTTCCCTAGGCAGAGAGGATGGGGTGGGAGCAGTGGGATTCACTGGAAATCCCACTGGAAAGGCTGAGGCGGCTGGCCTTGGGCTTGAGTGAGGTCTGCCTCTGGTGAATGTAGAGAGACCCAGAGGAGAAGAAGTACTGGGCCTGGGGTGTGGCTGTCTCAGGGATGGGTCACCGAACTTGCTTGAAATGGTGTCGTGGACCAAAGGGATCTTTACTGCACAGTGTGGGAGGTCGTGGAATCAAGGCCCCTAATTCTCCACTGAGGCCCAGGGTGAGAGGTCCAGCTTATCAATGGCTGAGCAATCCACAAAACCATGGGGGTAGTGGTTGGCCCGGAATGGGTCCACTGGGACCTTGGTGATGTGGGTGTTGTCACAGACAAGGCGTGAGAAGGACACTTTCTGTAGAGAGTCTCGCTGCTTCTCAGTGAAGACACCAGGGTTCTCCCACCAGAACCTGCAGAGACAGAAGCCAGGTTTCTCCATACAGCCCAGCTGTTGGCCGCCCCCCCACCCCCGCACCCCCACACTGTGCCAAAGGGGAAGAAAAGAGGTCATTGGGAACATGCTGAGGTCCGGGTTAGTCCTCACAAAGGACGTCGGGACACCCACCTCAGAGAAGGGTCTGCCCTCCCCCACCCTCCCCGCTGACGTCTCACTTGCCTGTCTCCATCACGGATCTGCTGCAACTGCTTCCCCAGGAGGCAGGCCAGGAGAGGCCCCACCCGGCCCCTTTCTACCAGGGGCTCAGCAATGCCTCCCACCCAGATGTCAACGTTGTCAGGGGTCCTGTAGAGATCCAGTAATTTCTTAGCCAGCCTCTTGTTCTTCAGCACAGCATCCAGCTCTTCCAGTGTCTGGGGTTGTGAGAGGTCGCAGAAGCCTCTCCAGGAGTTGTACCCTAGGGCAGACAAGCTGAAGCTGTCTCATCCCAGGGACTTCTCACCCGAAGCCCCACTTGGATACATACCCACTCCAGCTCCATCAGCCCCAGAAAGCCTGGCCTCACAGCCTTTGGGACAGGGGAAGTGGTGGTCCATTGTTTTATGTCTGTGGCATTTTAGTCTCAGAGGGCTCATAGGTTATATGGTACTTACCGTGGGTCCAGGCACTATTCTAAGCACTGTACAAATACGTAAACTGAAGAACCAAGGTGTTAAGTAACTTGCCTAAGGTCACATAACTAGAAATGGCACAGCTGGGATTTGAACCCAGGCAGTCTGGCTCTTAGTTACAACATTAAATTGCCTTGCATGGGTACAAAAGAAAGGTCCAGTGGTCACTGGTTTCTCTCTATTCTCCTTTTCTTAATCTTTTCTGGGCTTTTAAACTGGTCTTATAAGTCAGTTGATCTCTTTTTCACTTGAGGTGCTCCAGGATAGCACCAGATATGTCTTCTTTCCTCTGCATTAGGGAGAATGGAAGATTCCACTTCACAGATGAGCACAGTGAGTTTTAAAAGCTGGCATCTCTGCCTTCTGTTTTAGAACTGATCAGGGGCTGGCCCTGTGGCTGAGTGGTTAAGTTCACGTGCTCTGCTTTGGCGGCCTGGGGTTCTCCAGTTCAGATTCTGGGCACGGACCTACACACTGATCATTAAGCCATGCTGTGGCCGCATCCCACGTGGAGGAACTAGAATGACCCACAACTAGGATATACAACTAGGTACTGGGGCTTGGGGAGGGGAAAAAAAAAGAGGAAGATTGGGAAAAGATGTTAGCTCAGGGCCAATCTTCAAAAAAAAAAAAAGACTTGCTAGAATTGATCAGACCCTCAGGATTATAGGTTATAGAAGAAAGTCCCCCTGGAACCCTAGGCCCTAGGCCCGGCCAGACCCCAGGCCCACCAGGCATCCCGTGGTCCCGGGAACGCTGTATGTTGATGGCAGCCAGGTCAAAGCCGTGGATCTTGTGAGTGGGCTGGAAGAGCTTGTTTCGCAGCTCTCCTGTCATCATTTTATTCTGATTCATCAACTTGGACTTCTTGGCCAGGAGGCCCCGCACCAGAGGGTCAATTCCACCTGCGAGGGAGACAGAGAGGCCATACTGGGAATGGGGTAGGGTGGGGACATCTTGCACTGCTAGCCCCTCCCTCCACCAGACGTTTTCTTTCAGGGGAAAGTAGGGCCAACTGAATGTCTCAGGCTGGAATGGGGAGAGAAGAGCATAATGCAGCCTGCAGGGGGTGCTGGGGTCGGGGTGGGACAGTCCAGACTGACTGGCTGGGGGTGGGAGAAAGGGGCATTCCTGGGATAATGGCATGAATATAAGCTTCAGGATTTTTTCCAAGCTCTAGTTCAGAGAGTTGGCTCCTTTTCTTTCCATCTGTTCCCCTGAGGAACTTTGCAGCTGTGGAAGAGGTGGTGGAAGTTTCTAGAAAACAGCCCTGACTTGTATTAAGGAGAGCCAGTTTCAACACAGCCCAGCCCAGGATAAAGGGGAGTGGGGTCCAACCTTTGACACTTGATGGAAGTGGAAGGGCCTGGAGGGGAGCAGAAAAGAGCAATTTATTTACCAAACCCATGAATTCTTTCTACAGGGGTCAGAGAAGGCTGAGGCAGGAAAAAAAGCAGGGAAAATCTAGGTACCTTAGAGGCCAGAGGAGGCTTAATAACAATAGCTAATTATATAATTATATGATCATATATCTCACTTAATTTTTTGTTTATCCTAGTGTGATAGGTACTACTATTGTCCCCATTTTACAAATGAGGAAACTGAGGCTCAGTGAGTTGAATTCACTTGTCCAAGGTCACAAAGGAAGTGTCTAGAGTCTGACTTCCAAGCCAGGTTTCCCTAGAAGTAAGCTGCAGAGTGAGACAGCCAGGTGACAGCACTTCCCTGAAAGGACGTACCATCTTTGACAATTCTCCAGGTGTTGAAGAAAAGGGTGTGCAGGGGGAGCTCTGGTTCTGGTCCCCATGGCTGATAATTCTCATCTAGGCGGAATACAGTAGAGGGGACCTCCAAGTGGCCAAAGCGGAAGGCAGAGGTGAAGACATTGGAAATTCGGGGATCCACATATTTGTTGTAGCCTTGGTATGGAGGGATCCACTTCTGCATCTCATCACCGAGCACAATGGGCAAGTAGTCCCTAAAGGTGATAATCTGGAAGGAGAAACATGTCACAAGGGAAGTGTGAGAAGTGTGAGAAGACTTAAACCTCTGCAGAGTAAGGTTGGAGAGGAGCTGTGGCCAAGAAGGATGAGTGGTCCAAAATCAAGGATGGCAAACGGATAGCATACATACCCAATTCCCCTTCTTATGACCATGGCAGACATTGCTAATTGATCAAGGCATTCTTTCTGCTGATCTCTCATGATTTGTCTCAACATAGGCTCTACTCATCAGTCATTTGAACT